TCCTCTCCTGTACCATAGCAGAACTTGGACATCCACCACTGATACCACTATTCTTGAGCATTATCTGGATATTGTACCTCTGTATCACTACTGAAACAAGCACATTGTAACAACTTAAAGTCTTCTATCACATGTTATTGCCCTTCTTCTAATAGACTATAAAGCTGCTTCTACAGCCTTAAAACAGACTGGTTTACAACTAGTGTATGGATGTCTATGATAGATATTATTACATAAGAAGTATACAAGATGTGTGACTGATAGAACACCAATTGCTCAAATTGAGGCCTAAGTATACTGAAGTCAACATGTAAAGTCCAAGTTGTGGCCCAAGTACCCCAAGTACCCCAAGTATATAGACTTGGGTCAAGTCCGTGTACTTGAGACCAAGTACATGGACTTGGGGTCAAGTACACGGACTTGGGGTCAAGTACACGGACTTGAGGCCAAGTACACGGACTTGAGGCCAAGTACACGGACTTGAGGCCAAGTACACGGACTTGAGTCCAAGTACATGAACTTGGGCCCAAGTATGGGTCCAAGTCCGTGACGTTTTCCTGATGAAGGATCCATGCTTTGACTCGTGTAAATTTGAATGTCCGCGTTGCCATCACCTGCCCTTGATTATGTCGGCGCTAGATGTACTGGCCTTCGACTGTCTTGAGTTGCATTCTACTTGTGAAAGTCTAGGCGACTTTCCACACTTTGGTCTCTTTCAGGTGGACGTCTAGTCGAACGACTTGGCCTGCTCAAGAGGTTGCTTTCTGACTCAACTTGATCTCCTGACAACTTCAGGTCCGAGGTCCGTTTCCTCTTCCTCCAAAGCATTTCCTGACGTATCATCCTGCCAAGCGTGCAGAGGAGTATCGTGCGTGTCGCATAAAATGAATATGGCAAATGCGCTCGTCACTGATCTGAAGACATTGCCCGAACTCGTGAAGTCATGAATCTCGTGCCACTTGCGATCGGCTCCTTCTTTCCCTACACCCACTTTCCTGCACCTGCCGAGGGTCTGCACAACTTGGGAGGTTGGACGAAACATGCGATGTAGAGACCTGAATGGAGGAATAGAGTTCTGCATGCCCGGAACTTGCCTTGACCGCACACGCAACCAATGCTTCGTCTTCCTACCAGATTAGCGCCACCACCCCTTGTCCTACACTGCCTCACCTCCAAGGTACGTCTTTACGGACGCGCACCATTGTGAATGCATTTCTCATGAGTGACTGATGATTGGTAGGATGGTGGCTCGCTACTGCGCTTTCTGCGACGAAGAGTCCTCCAACACCAAGCGCTGTGCAGGATGTCGCAACATTTGGTACTGCAGCGCTGACTGCCAAAGGAGGCATTGGCGCTTCCACATCTTCGACTGCAAAAGAGAGAAACCCATTGACACTGCTTATCACCTCGCTCGTGCATGCTACGCCGACCTAGAGCCCATCGACGCGCAGACCAGGATCGACTATGGCTTTGACAAGGCCTCTCGAATACTGGGTCCACATGCCGAGACGATGATCTGTGGCTTGTGGATAGGCGTCTTTGTCGTCCACAACGTCGATGCAAAGGAAGTGTGCAAGTGGCGGAAGGAGGGTAGGCTGGTGGAAGGAATCAAGGAGACGTACGAGCGTAATTCAGAAGGCTGGACTCAAGGCGCGTACTACCCCTGGTTCCTGCAGCATCAGTGGCTACTTGATGGCACCCCAGTGGACGAAATGCGTGCGCATCAGTATGGGCTTGATGCCGCCGATAAGATGCTCTGCGACGGATGGGTTTACGCGGGAGGCTCCTCCAATGACACCGCAGAGGACATCCGGAGGACACTGGCGACCCTCCCTCGCGATCGCGCCGAATGCCATCGCTTATACGCTCTCCTGATCTCCGGAGCGCATCCCAATCCGTCAATCTCGATGTGGCTCAGTTTCGGCTTTGTCTCAGCAATGGATCCAGGCGAGGAGATGCAATACGCACGCAAGTACAAGGAACTCATCGAACTCTGTACCTTCAACGAGTTCTCCGCTGCCTATGAGACGTCGTCCATACCTGCTCTATTCGACCGCTACGAGGTGGATACGTCTGTGGTTCACTTCCCTATGAATCACTCGCCACTTTTCCTTGACGTTATGTCCGGTTCCCCGAGGTCTTACAAGAGCGTCTGGGTCCTGAAGCAGTACATCGACCAACTCATTTGCGCGGAGCCGGACGACGTCCTTGAACCTGTTCCATCTGCCGCCGTGGACTACGGCTTCGTCAAATGCAGGAATGCGCTGGACCGGAAACTGCTGGATGACTTGTACAGGAGGCTCTTCTCAGAGCGCGACGCTGACCCCCTTGCGCTGCATGAGGCGTGCCTCAAGGGCCAGCTCTTGGAGTATGCGCAGGGCTCCGTGAAGCTCGCCCCGTACCTGACGAGGTACAAGCGACTTCTGGGCAATCAATACCCACTTCATTTTGTTGCGGAAGAAGGTCATACTGTGCGTCATCGTGGAATGTGTTCTATAGATCGACTGCTGACATCTTCACTAGCCTGACCAGGCTACGACGACTGATGTCCGGCCGGAAATGCTCTTGGAAGAACCCTCCTATGAGCTTCCTAGTCCCGACCACGGTCATTCGTGTACCGGCGAGGTTTCTGCGCCAGCGGTTTGTGCCGGACCTTCCAATTCTCCCGATTGTGACCATATTGTACGTATGTTCCCATATGTTCTCCTGATCAGTATTTGACGAAAGCAGCATCTTCAGTCCGATGAACCTACAACTATGACCGAGACGCCGCCGGACCCGCTGTTGGTTACCACCCCTTCGACAGAGCCGCCCGATGACTCACATCCCACGACCTGGTCCTGCCTGATTGCATGAACAGAATATCCCGGTCTGTTTGCTCTGCTCGGAACTCGAGTCTCCGCCTTTCCTCGTATAATCCCTAGTCTTCTCGGCGGTTCCAACTATTCTCGGCGACAGCTGAAGCGCTAAGATGCCTAACCTTCTAAGTTCTTCCAGGCCAGCTCTCGCGTTTGTGTTCTCTCCTTGTACTACTATCAAGTGTCGAGGTGCTATATACACTACTTTTGGGACCAGTGATTCCTTTTGCTTTCCCAGGAGTGCTCTATTTTGGTGTGGTGGAAGAGCCTTGCACGCTATCGCACCACTATACTAGTATGGTTCAAAGTACGTGTCCCATGAGTCTTCCCTCTTCTGTTGATACTTGCGCTCCTTTCTCACTAGCAAAAATAACAGCAGATGCAGTCAGCTTCTGGCTCGATTAACCAATGGCCTGCTGCTGATCAATCATGGAGACTCCTTTGCGTAAGGAATCTGAGACGTTCGGACCGGTTCCCCCACGAAACGGGACTTCCTGCCCCGGGCCTATGAGTATATAAATGCTTCACCCATCGTCTTGTTCTCTCACGTTACTTCCCTACTTCAACTGACATTGAAAGATATGCCACGCAAGATCTTAATTGGTTTTGGAGTCGACGCAGACGCTGCTTCTGGATGGTGCGTCGCCTATACTTTGACTCATACGTTGACTGGCCACGCATGCCTTTTGTTCAGGATTGGGTCCTTGGGCGCAGAGAATTCTCCAGTAGATGTATCTAGGGTGGGCTCCTGTTTGCTAGACTTAGGTTCTCATCAGCGACGTTCTGACACATCTTTAGGGTATATATGCTGGCGAAGTGGGTATCCCTCGCCTTCTGAGGTTATTCGCCAAGTATAATATCAAGACTACTTGGTTCATTCCCGGTGAGCTACCGCCGAAGAATGGTGTGGTCTAGGATGTATGACTCATTCTCACTCAGGACACAGTTTGGAGACATTCCCGGAACAAATGGCAGCGGTCAGAGATGCGGGGCACGAGATGTCAGATTGATCGTATTCACGCGCCGAAGAAGCGTCGACTGACTTGTTTCGTACCGCATAGCGGGTTACATGGCTACCTCCATGAGCGACAGTCTAAGTTGACCGTCGAGCAGCAGAAGGATGTCTTGGATCGCGCATATGATGTCCTGACAAAGTTCAACAACGGTGTCCCACCAAAGGGGAGCTGTGCTCCATGCTGGGACACTGCTCGTGACAGCGCTCAGTTGCTGGTCGAAAAGGGGATCGAATACGGTCAGTGCGCGAATGAGAATTGGACTCATAAGCTACTGAGTAACTATTCATAGATCACTCGGACATGGCTCACGAGCACGTACCTGGATTATCTGCGTGATTACGTCCGACTCATCTGATTCACAGCTCGCAAGCCTACTACTTACGAATCGGCGATGATTGGACGAAGATCGATTACCAGGCGAAGGCAGAGACATGGATGAAACCTCTCGTTCGAGGGACTGATACAGGTTTGGTTGAGATCCCTGCTAACTGGTATGCTTGAGTGCAATCGCTTCGGGGGAGAGCGTAACGTGCTAATTCAAGCGACCTAGGTACCTCGATGACTGGCCGCCTCTGATGTGATGAAGTGTTCTCCATGTTCAAGGGAATTTCAACTTACTGAGGACGTACCAGATTCGTCCGTAGTGCTGGGAACTCTAGTGGCTGGGTAAGTTTGCTCGGGTTAGAGTGCCGTAGGGGAGTCTCTGAACGACTGCACCAGGTCAATACACGAGACGTCGAGCAGCTGTGGAAGGATATGTTCACCTATCTCTACAGGGGAGTGATATTTTGGATCTTGGCCCCCGGACATCACCTTTGAATTCTATCCTGCAGGGAAGAGGAGAACTTCATATTTCCCATCACTATCCATCCAGACGTCAGTGGGTGAGTATTCCGACAGAATCTCCTCAGTACTACTCTTGTGTTCCTAACTTTGCCGTCAGCCGGCCACACGTACTCATGATGCTTGTGGGTTTCTACTCAGGGTACATACCGCAACCTATTAATACCCATTCTGGCCACAGGAACGCTTCATTGATTGGGTCAACACTCACGATGACGTGCAGTGGGTTCGCATGATCGACATGGCTAACGAATTCCGCGGTCGAGTTTCGCCGGCTGCCAACGCCATAATGCCTCAGGGACTAGCAACTTAGCGGATAGAGGTGGGAGCAATTAGTGTACAATCGGGCTTGCTGGCTCATGTAGCCCCAGCATATTTCCTGAGGAGACTTCAAACGTGACCAGGGTAGGATACTGCACCGTGGGGCGTCGATGTGAAGAACCCTGACTGTCCGCTCTATTACTCAATATCCTCTTCAACGCCAGCTGGTGTTGCTTTACTTATGCTTTCTTGTGCAGAGGGGTCCCTGCGTAGTCTGGAACGCAAATCGGCTTGCATCTGAATTTCATGCGAATCGCGGTATCTATTGCATTTGCGAGCGCCGTCATTGACGCATCGAGCTTCTCTCCCTTCGGCCATTGTCCCTTGGAGCTGTATCCCCCGGGTTGAAGGGTGCAGGATCGAGTCCGAGAGCGGATTCATGTGCCCCGGAGGGGATTTTCGCGGCGCGCTCACAGTGCAAAATGCGACACTCACGCGTTCATAGCCTAGTCGTGCACATACCGCACACACATCGCTTGGCCACGTGTGCACGACTAGAGAGACCCGCAGCCAGCAAGCATCGGACGCACGATATATGCGTCAGACATTATGTAACTCGCGAGTGGACCCATCGCGCGAGCTCGGGGCGGACTGTGGACGTTTGCACACTAGTTTCACGCATCCACGATTGTGTAAGAGCACGTCGAGGTGCGTGCTTCGGGAGGGACACTCTACAGACCCACGCGATGCTCTTTTCGCAACCCCAATACTGCGAGACGCTCCCGTTCACGCTCCCGGGGCTGTGCGTGTGGTTGCTGAGAGCCAATCTCAAGGATCCTGGACGGGAGACAGAATCGTACTCGCTCGTCGGTGCCTGAAATCGAGATAAACGACGGCAGCCTGGAGGAGACTCTCAGCACTGTACCAACCATCTGCAGGGGATCATCCGCCGACGACTCTCCCAGCCGGACGTGCACCTCATCCCGACGCGATTGCATATGGGGAATATGTGACGACTCGTGTCTCAGAATCAATTTCCTGTGCACCTTCAACGAACAGCTAAAGACATAAAAGAGCAACGCACACTGGCCAGCAGAGCCTCGAGTGAATGTACGTTGCGACAGTGGCCGTTTGTCAAGCGCATCTTCCTGCAGCGACCCAGGTAGACATTGGGGGTATCGGCGCAACCAACGCGAGGCACGGGTTCAAATGTATGAACAACCCTTCCGTGAATCGAGGAATGCGTGTATATGGTACAAGAGGCCCTCCGTGAACCCACCAAGTCCGGCCAACCTAATCATCACCGCCGTCCCCGCTCGATCGTCATGCACGTAAAGCGTGATCGTCGTGAACGTCGACAAAACACCCCTATACAACAGGGCTCGCCCCGCGCCGTCGTTTCCGGAAGAGCACCTGCGCGTTGTGCGACGGCAGGTCCGCGGGCCCGAAGCGGACGTTCGTGGGTCGCTTGCCCTCCTCCGCGAACTTGACGTCGTAGTTGAGCACGAGGTGCGCCATCATCGTCTTGAGCTCGTTAGCCGCGAAGAACCGTCCCGGGCTGCACGTCGCATCTGTCAGCCCTTTCCCAATCCTCGAACACGATCCCCGAACACGGGGGGAGCAAGGGGGCAGAGGGAGGAGAAGAAAGGGAGACTGACCACGCGTGCTTCCCGCCGCCGAACGTGATAAAGTCCACGGAGGTGTTCACGAGCTGGTGCCGCGTCGCCTCTTCGAGCCCGCCGCCCTCGCGCATGCGCGCGAACCGGAACGGGTCGAACACGGCCGGGTCCGGGTAGCGCGTGTCGTCCGAGTGCGCGGTGATCGCGGCCGCGGCGACGAGCGTGCCCTTGGGGATGCGCGTGCCGTCCGAGAGCGTGACGTCCTTCATCGCCTTGCGGAAGATGTTCACTGTGGATGCGGGTCGGACGGTCAGCGTCGGCGTCGGGGTCAGAGGACAGAGACGTGATGGTTCGACTTACGGAGAGAGCCGTCGGCGAGTCGCATCGACTCCTTGAGGAAGCTGTCGAGCTTGCGCATCTTCCCGATCGACGCCTTGCTCCACCCCTCCTCGGCGACGATACTCTCCACCTCCTCCCTCAGCGGCTCCATGTACTGTGTATACGCCGCGAGGTTATACAGCGCATGCGTGAACGCCTGCACCAAACCGCACCGTCAGCCCCCATCGCCACGCAGACAAAGCCAAAGCCCCCGGCCGCAGACACATACCCCGCTGGACGTGTGGATCGCGCCAAAGTTGACGAGGAGCACCTTCTCGACGACGTTGTCGAACGCGGTCCCCTTCGCGCGCGCCTCCTCGAGCAGCCACTGGAGCATGTCGCGCGGCTTGTCGTCCCAGCTCTCGCCGTGCTCGTCCATCAGGCGCTGCCGCTCCTGCAGCATCGGGACGACCATCGGCGTGAGGATCTGCTTGTTCTTGGCCACCATCGGCACGGCTTTTGCGATCAGTCTGGGAGCAAGGGAAATCGAGGTGAAGCGGTTCAGCGCAGGCCGACGAGGTGCCGCACGATACGATCACTCACGGTTTGAGAAAGTCGGGGAAGAGGTTGATGACGAAGGACGACACGAAGACGTCGTTCGTGAATTTGATCGCGACGTCGAGGTACTCGGTATCCCGACCTGTCCTCCGCGACGCGTCAGCAGCTTGGCCCCCCTCGCCCGCTTGCCGCACACGCACGGCACACTCACATCTCGGCAGACCGACGATGACGCGATTGCTCGCCCGCGCGATGATCTTCTGCACGACCGGCCACACCGTCACCGCGGTCCATTCTAGCAGCCCCGGCCCACAGACCCGTCAGCTCGACTCTTCTCATTAAACCATCATACTCCGTCCGGGCATAGCGGCAGGCGTGGAAAAAGTGGAGGGAAGAAACGACGCACGGTCCTCTTCGGCCGGGACGTACTCCCGAAACGCGGCCTGGACCTCGTCCAGAACGTCGGGGAACACGGCGGCGAGGTTCCGAGTGAGCTTGTCGCGGACGACGGCGACGTGGAACTGGTCGTCGATCCCGGGGCCGAGCGTGTGGCGCAGTTGCAGCACCTACACATCGCGTTGCGCGCACGCGTGTGGGGGAACACGAGAGCAGGTAAGCGCGAGGGCAGGGGAGGTGGGAACATAGAAGGGGCGTACCTGGGTGGAGCCCTCCATGGAGGAGAGCTCGTCGTCTGGGCTGCGGCGGAGCTCGTCGATGAGCTTGGGGCCGGTGAAGACGAGGAGCCAGCCGTCGAGCATGGATATTTTGAAGATCGTCCCGTCAAACTAGGACATCGTTTATGTAGCTGAATAGCTGGAGTAGGGCCAACCGCGGGTGCGCACCTTCTTGTATCCTTCGCGCAGCATGCCCTCGGTGTCGTAGACATAGCGAAAGGCTCCAAGCCAAGAAAGGATCGGAGCAGAGGGGCCGATGGTCGGTATGGAGTGCAACTACATAGGCAAATGGGGGTTAGGAGCGCACGATAGGTAGATGTATTCAGCGAAGGTGACGTACGGGATTGGACCGCCTGCGGACGAGATACGCGACGAGGAAGACGGCGGCGAAGGCAGCGAAGAGCTGCCACGAGTCGTCGGCCGATCTGGAAGAAGATGGTGCGGCATCGGGGGACGTCATGGTCGATTACGATCTGTGTTTGCCGAGCTGTAGGCAGGGACGGGATGGTGAGGATGGGGTGCAGGATGTCGTGAGCTCGATAAGACGAGAAGCAGGTCGGATAACGAGATATGGGAGAGACGGGTGGAGGAGCACAAGCGAAACGAACGGGGAGGAGAGCGTCCATGGTTAGTTGGGATATAACGGACACGAACGTGGGCCCGGGTCGTGGGCGGGCACGAGGAGAGTCTGGCCCAGCGCCAGGGGTTGGTCCCCATGAAAAAAGGAAGACGAGGACGGTGGCGGGGAGGCGAATACGCAAAAGTAGGCGGGGCGCTGGGCCACGCTCGGGGAATGTCCAGTCGCAGCGCCGAATGGGGGAAACGCCGTACCTGTTCAGCACCTCTTCGCCCGACGCAGCAGTGGAACCTCTGTATCCAGGTCCGCGACGTGACAGGCCAAGGCGATCGTCAAGAAAGGGAGCGGAGCTGGGGCGTGGCGGTCGTTCAGAGTCGTTGGAGAGTGATGTTGGTGTTGTACGCGCGGGGGGTGCTGGGGAGAAATGTCGGACGCGCAGCTGGGAGTCGAGGGGTAAAGTACCCTCGGCTGGCTGGCGTCGCGTCGGGGCGGGGAGAAGCACGGAGGGGGGAATCGGTTACGGTAGGGGTGGGAGAGGCTCGGGGAAGAAGCTTGAGGAGCGAAGGCTGGTCGGGGCGAGATAACACAGCTGGCGATTACAGCTGGCGATTAATATCGATTAATATTCATTTCGGACGGAGAGAGTCGCCCGCCGCGAGCTGGCGATGGGAGAGAGAGGGTGAGAGAGAGGTCACGCATGCCACCTCCTCCAGCGCCCTCCCCGATCCGATCGTGGCACCCCCACGCGTACACCCGGTGTGACCCCACCCATGTGATTGTGACGTGTTGTTCCTGGGCGCGGAGCTCGAGCTTCGGTGGCGCAGTGTGTGCTCCGCGAACTCCTCCAGCCTCCTCCAGCGATGTTTCATTTCGTCCCCAGAAAAGTCGCTCTCAGCTCTCCGCAGCCCTCTTCAGCGGCGCCAACTCCCCCTCCTCTTCCTGGTCCAAGTGCCACACTCCCCCGCCGCGCTCCCACCCCGGACCATCACCCGCCCAATATTCATCCTGATCTAACGGGCAATCGGAAAGGAAAAAACACAGACCACGCCCCAAAAGACCTCGCAACGCTGCTCGTCCTCTCCCTCTCTGATCACAGCCTGTGCGCAGATGTCGACCTCAGAAGGTCCGTCTCCACCGCCAAAGATGGGTGTACGTGCATTCCTGTCACGCCGACAGTGAGAGCTGATCTTCACACAGGGATACCCCTCAGCTACCTCGTACAGCACTCGGCCTATCTCTGCCATATACACCCTAGGCCACTAGACGCCACCTTTCTCAGAGCCATTCGAGCGCATGCCGCAGACACGCTCGAGATCCGCATGCTCGTCACCGCCCCATCCAAAGGCGCCTGGCACGCAAATCCCGAAACATCCAAGCACGACTCCGGAGGCTACGAAATACGGCTGAAACACCGGGATGAGGCGCTCGCGCGCGCAAACAACTCCGCGAGGCACGAATGGGAGGAACGGACGGTCTACGTGGTGCGTGTGCACCCCTCCCGCCTCGCGTACCCCTCCGTCACACGACCCCGTCCACAGGAATGCGTCCCCCCCGCACACCGCACCGTCCCCCGCATCGCCTACTTCCTCTCCGCCCTCCTCCCGCCCTCCGGCCCGGACGAGCCCACCCGCATCCAGGCAATCTCCCTCCCGCCGCACCACCTCGACCGCCCCGGCGCGCCCCCGAAGCCCAAAGGCTTTGCGTTCGTCACCCTCGCCTCCGCGTCCGACGCCGCGCGCCTCGTCGCACACTGGCCCTGGCTCCCGCGCCGGACGTCGTTGCCCTCCGGGCCCGGCGCTGATGCGAATGACGAGGGTGATGGCGGCCCTGAGCCGCACGCCGGCGTGCGGCGGGATGCGGTCAAATTCGGCTTCCGCGCTCTGAGGAAGGCGCGCTGGGACGCGATGAGGGAGGAGTATTTGGAGCACCGGCAGGCGCTGCTTGACGAGATCGCTCGGGTGGAGGGGGACCGGGCGAGCGCGCGCCGTATGGGGACGGCAGGGGAAGCAGCAGGGGGACCAAGCACGAGCACGTCAACGAGAACGAAACCGGACACGGTGCGTAAGTCCGTCTCCGAGCCCGCGCTCGACCCGTCGGCGGCGTACCCCCCGGGCTGCCTCGTCTTCGTCCGGGACGTGCACCCCGAGACGAACAAGACGGCGCTCAAGACGCTCTTCGCCGCGCACGCCTTCGGCTCCCCGGCCGCGCTCGACTACGTCGACTACCACAAGGGCATGACCTCGGTGAGCCGTCTCCGCCGGATCCCCTCCCCCTGCTCTCGCTCAGTTGGTTGACGTTGACGGCCGCAGTGCCACGTCCGCGTCGCGACGCCCGCGCACGCCCGGATGCTCGTTTCTGCCCTGGCCGACCGCCCGGTCGTGCAGGCGGCGGGGCTGGACGACGCAGGCGCTCCCCCGTCCGAGGCTGGCGCGACGAGGGGTGCCAAGCCTGTCAAAGGCGAGCTCGTCGATGGGGAGAGGGAGGCGCTGTACTGGAACAAGCTGCCCGAGAAGGTGCGCCGCGAGGCCGTGAGGAAGGCCATCGCGCAGGCGTTCCAGCGCGTGGAAGACGCAGCGGCGGGCGGGGAAGCCGAGCACGACGCAGCGGCGGAGGAGCGGCAGGGGAAGCGGGCGCGGAAGCGCAGGAGGAAGGCGTAGACGTGGACGCGATACTGCTGCATGCATCCACCTTGCCTGTATCGGGGGTAGATGTTGTGCCAGTCTCCTCCAGCTCCTCCGCTGAGAGCCTTCGCTCTAGCCTTGCTACTATGCTCGCCTCGCTGGTAGCTGCTTACTCACTACCACACTACCTTCCCCACCACGCCTATCGCTCAATTCATTCATCAACCATTTGGTACCTCCTGAGTGGGCCGGAGCTTCCAGGGCACAATCGTGAGGACCGCTCTGACGATGGATGCCCCCAGCTTCGTCATGAGCGGGACCGTTTCCGCCTTGACCGTCTGATCTTACAGCATCCTTACCCCCGAAGACTGTCGGTGTCGATAGTTCACTTCAGTGTCGTCTCCGACGCGGACGGTAGCCGGACATTGAACGCCTGCCTTCGCAGTCTGGTATGTATCTCTGTGCTCTTCACTGTCCCAGTGAGCGTAGACGGCAATCTCGGTCCCGACCGTAGATACCTTCAGATCAGTACGGAGATCCTGGAACAGCCGGCGCAGCTGGCCCTTGAGGCCACGGGGAAATCGGCGGGTCATTTGACCTCGACTATGCAGACGCACGTAAATGAAAGGCACAGCCAAGTCGACGCAAGATCAAGGAATTCCACTTGCATTGGCGTCTGCACATACACCTACTGTCCTGGCTGAAGATCCCTTGATGCTTTGATTGTTTAGACTGCACAACCCATGCCGCGTAAGGGCATGCGGGTTCGGGCCGCAAAGTTTGGCGTCCTCGTCCGCCCACTTAAAGCTACGTTGCTCTGCGACACTATGAGCAAACAGGCACGCATCGACGACCACCGCCAGCAAGAGTAAGGAGTAAATAGCATAACGTTTAGTAGGGCGCACGGCATGAAATACGGGATGCGGAACGAAAGCAGAACCGAGAGCGTTTAGCAAGTAGCATGGCGTGAGCAACTGAGCATGGCGACGTCGTGAACGAAGATAGGAAATCTAGAAAGACAAGCAGGATAGACGTGTGGGGGTGTTGTGTCGCATATAGGGTGTGTAGGTATCGCAGTGGTGAGATATCGCAGTGGTAGTGAGTAGACCGTCGGTTTGGTCGTCAGTTGTGGGTGTCGACGCCCACGGCTAGTCGAAGCCCTCCTCCCGTAGACGCCTCCTCACCTGCATGAGCGCGCGCCCAAGCAGGTTCATGCCCTGGTCGATCTTGCCGTCGCCCAGGGTCGTGTCCTCGTCGAAGAATACGAGGTCCGCCCCGCCCGTCGACATCAGCATCTGACGCAACGTCGGGTGCTGCACGAATTTGTGGTACAGCACCTCCTCCAGCTAGCGATACACCGCGCGTCAGTTCCCCACCTCCCCACGAAACAAAAGCGAACCGCAGCGCGCACCATCTCGAGCTTGATATCCTCCCAATCAGATCTCCAATAGTCCCTCATGCCCTCCGCGACAGCGAAGGCCTCCTCCGCCGTCCCGCGACCTCTGACGCTCTCCGCGAAGTCGGGGCGGTGCGGCAGGAATTTCAACGCCTCGAACAAGTGTTGCGCCGTCGGGTACGATCGGTGCTGGTACCCCACCTTATGCGGCGAGAAGGGAAGCAGCGCTGCGAGCTCACCGTTGCGCTCGATACGTACTCTGGGCGGAGGGGGCGTCGGAACCGGAGTCGGCGTCCGCCGATGCTGATCCATAGCGGGCATAGGAGTTGGCATCGGTCCAGGATGCATCGCACCGTTCATGCCGTATGCCGCGTTCCCTGGTGTCGCATTCGGCACGTAGCCAGGCATAACAGACCCAGGTGGGGGAATTACGGGAGGCGCTGAGGCTGGAGGGGCAGCGACGCCGTTGGCGCCTACTGCTGGAGGCTGATATACGAGGTTCACGCTACCGTCCGGCATGTGCTCAACGGTGGGATATACAGTTATCGACTGACCTCCTGCAAACACTTGCGGCGGCGACGCACTGTCGGACGCGTCCTCGGACCTGCGCGAAGAACCCCCGCCGAGACGATTGCTGAGCGAGCGAAGCAGACCGCCCTTCTTCTTTCTCTCCCTACTGGAGCGCGTGCCTTGGTGATGTCCAGGCTGCGGGATGCTCACAGCGCCGATGGTGTGTATCGCCGGGGCCGCGCCGATTCTCGCCTTCAGCGCATGCTCGTCGATCGGTCTCCGGAGCTCATCAAGAAGTCTTGCGTACGGCGAGGAGTGTAGAATGTCCCGAGGAGGAGCAGGCAGCGGATTGTGACTCCGTTGGATGGGCTCGAACGGTCGCGGTCGGTACGACGGCTGCTCAGGTTCGACTGGCTGTTGATGTACGCCCATGTTCATCTCCGGTTGTGCGGGCCAGCCGCCCATCATGGGCTGTGCACCAGGATGGTGCGGGAAAGGCGGACCGCCTGTAAAGTTAGGAGGGATCACGGGACGCTGGCCAGAGTCGTCGAACGGGGGCTCGTCGCGAGAGAACATGGGAGACGATCCTGCCCGTCGGTGTCTCCGACCGTCACGTTGCAGGATCGGCTGGGGAGTGCGATTGCGATCCCGAACAGGGTCGAACGGGCCGTACTGACCTGGGGCAAGGGGAGGTTGCAGCCGGGCACGCGCCTCGGATGTCAGATCGTCTTCATCTTCTGAAGGTGAAGGCGGCCATACTTGACCAGGGGGGACGAAAGGTGTGCCAGCTCGACCCCGGCGAGACGAGGGTAGAGGAGGGATGACGGGAGCTTCTACGCCGCCGTTCATTTGGCCGGGCGGCGGCGCATGGAACTGAGGGGAGGGCATACCCGGACCCATATTCATGTTCATAGGCCCTGAGGGGAACGGATTGCCCGCAGTAGGAACTGCGCCATTCATGCCAGGAATGACTGGTGCCATGCCATTCGGCATCTGGGGCTGAGGGAACGCCATTTGGTTGACGGGCATGTATGGATCTAAGCGACGAGTTTATGGGAGGTAGGGGACAATTGAATGACTAGGGTCAAGGGACCGATGGAAAGGCGCTAGAGTGGAATAGACGCACTGCCGTAGGCACCTTGACCGTAGGGCATCTGAGGGAATCCTGCGGCTCCGTATGACATCTCCGAGGGATACTCTTCAGGGTCATCGTCATCGTAGCGGTCGTAGTCCCTATCGTATTTGTCTCTCCTACCACGGGTAGTGTATGCGCGAGTGCGATTCCGGTAGGCTGGATCCGAAAGAGAGCGTTGGCGGGTATCAAAACCTCCGGGGCGGCTGGGGTTGTTGCCCATGAGCCTCTAGCACTCGAAGGTTTCAGCGACGACTTTTATTAACCTAATGCGGGAAGCCAAGTGGAAGGAGCGCTAGCACAGGGAGAGAGTGGCACAGATACAGATAGAAGATGATGTGAAGCTGAAAAGGGGTATCACTGAGGAGGGCAACGAGGCTAGCTCATGGAGGAGAGCCCGGTGTAGACTGTCTGCACAGTGCACGCCGTCCGGAGACGACTCGGAGAAGGTCTGCCCGCGCTTCCGCCCTGAACCTCGAGGCAACCCGGCCACGTGGCCTCCCGGCACGCGACCGCGTCACGTCGCGATCACGTCGCGTCAGAGCCGCCCTTCTCGAGCGCTGGCCGTGAGCAAGGAATATCTCAAGTCCCACAGAACGCAATTCGAGCAATTCGACTGACGAGTTCGACCCGAGTACCAAGACCACACCGCGTACCTGGAGGTAAATGTCAATGTGGCCACGGACGTACGAGGCCTAGGTCTGCCTTGACGATGAGTCGGCTGTCACTTGCCTTTCATCGGGTGAGAAAGCGAACATGGTGAGAGAGCGGCATGGATTAAGCTATTGAGAGGGTAAGGAGAGAAGAAGCCGTCTGGGCGACAGCATGAAGACCGGAGCTTAATGTATACACGGGCAGCCAGCACCATAGCACCGGGACACCTTCACGGTGTGACCATCGACAAATACTGTGAAGACACCGCCGCCGACGAGCGATCGCAGACTATATGGCTAGTTGATTCTGCTCGGCGATCCCGAGTAACGTTCGATAGGCGTCCCATTCCCAGACGGTGCGGACAGCGGACAGGAGAAAGAACGAGTGCTCACGTCAACCCATCTGATATTCCGCTTTTTGGCGGAGTAGGAACGTGTACTCTTGGCTGAGGCGACGCGGTATATGTTGCCAGGTGAAAGTCGGAAGAGCGGAGCCGATGAGATCGCCTGGAGGATCGTGCAGACCATGGAGTCCGGAGGGTAGTGGGTGTAACCGTGCCCCCGGGACCGCCAACCCCGCCTATATGCGTGCTCGAAACGAAGAAGAAGGGTCACATCGCACCACGTACAGCATTCCATGTCTACTGCTTAGGATGTCTCCTACGTAGCTGAACGCAGACCAGTCATACATATTGCGGACGCGAGCGGCGCGGCACAATGAACAGAGACAGGAGCGGTGCCCGGTCGGGCAATGAACTTACCCAAAGCAGATCCCGACGACTTAACATTCCGAAACACGTCGACGAGAGCCTCGGCGGGTGACAGATGACCGTGTATGTGCGAAGACGGGGCGTTATGGACGCTCAGTATAACGCACGGAAGATACCCAGAACGGGATGTGCAGGTCGTGTGCCGTCAGGCGCATACATTCGAAGACTTGGGCCCATTCCAGCGTTTGCACGAGCGTATCCCGCGGGGCATCTCCGTCCTCTCTCCGCGGCTCACGGCAACCCATGTGGATCTGTAGGATATGCTCGTACTCCTGCTCCAAGTGGACAGGACATACGACAACTGGTCACAAGGCTGGAGATAAGTAAGTGACAGCCGTGGAAGCAAAACGCCGGGCATGACAAGAGAGCGACGCGATATTGTGAAGACCTGCGAAGGGCGAGGGAACCTGGGCCACTCTCCTCTTCCCCTCTCCCCAGATACATACATATATTGCACGGCTCATCTAGTTTTCCACAGTCATCTGCCGCAATCTAGGCGAACCTGTCTCCGGTTGAGAAGGCAGGCCACGTTCTGCGAAAGTGGCGCCCTCAAGGGCTTCCATGAAATGCCGGATCGACCGCAGCATCTGGATTCGTTCAATTGAGCGGCAAGATGCTTTCCTGTGCTCATGTGCCTCCATAATGCATGGACTGCGCTCAAGTGGGGGGATTTGAAATGGTCGTTCGAGATACGCCAGCTGCTGAGATGATGATGCCACCGAGTGACGCGAGACACGGAGATGATAGGTACGCACGACGACAAGTACCATCGTTCCCGCAGGGGCAGATCAGAGGCTCGAGAACGTCCGTTGAAGAGCTCTGCGAGAACGGTGGCATAGGAAGAGTGACGAAGCGAAAGGCTCGAGTGCTGCTGGTGTTGCGTACGTGGTTCGCGCCGGAAGCGAGAGGGAGTTTGCGATCGCAGGAAGGCAACGACCGAGCTTCTATTCATAGCATGAGCGCTTGAAACGCGACCGCCACCACGCTTCCCAGCCTTGCCAAAAGGAGCGAACTCGTTCCAGTCTCCTTTCGTGCACCACATGCCTCTTGTCCTGGGATCGTCCGCGGTAATCGTGACTCTACACACATATATATGCTCGTGCGCTGCGGATGGCCTCGTTCGCTGTGACGCAGGACGATGGCACTGGAGAGGAGGGAGACGCAAGAGTGCAACTGGGACGTTCTAATCGGAAAACGGAAGCAGACGAGGGACCAGTCTGCGGAGAAGGAGAAGCAGGACAGGTGGACAGAGCTGATAAGAGCGAGGAACGAACGTTGATCGCGACCCCCATCGCTGTGACGTCGTGCCCCCCGTTCCACCCCCGCAGTCGCACCGGACGTCCACTCGTTCAAGCTCATCCTTGGCTCACGCTTTCTTCACACCTCTGTCACGCCCATTCCTGTCATCGTTCTCAACTCGGACCCTTGTTTGCGTCACAACAGCGCTCCAACTATCCCAAAGCTCAGCCTAGCCCTCTCAGAACGCGTATAAAGCGTCAGCTGGCAAGATGGGCTGCCTCCCCTCCAAGTCCCTCTCCTCCTCTACCAAAGCCGGCCAGACACCGCCCTCCATGCAGAAGCTCCACCCCCTCGTTCGTCCCGCCCATTACCAGGGCAAGCGTCCGTCCTTCCAGGCGGCGTACGCCCGTGCTGCACGTCGTTACGGCTTTGAGACTGGCCGCAACGCCGGCTTCGCGAAGCGCAACAACGTTGTCGTCAAGGTCAAGTCCAAGCACAACAAGGAGACCCAGCACGAAGTCCCTGCCGACTCCATCCAGAATGGTGCGTGGGCTGTCGTGCATACTCTCGGCACCGTCGGCTGATTAGCTATCCGGGCTGTGCGCATGTGAACTACTGAACTCATGTAGAGTAAGTGCCTTGGACACGCCTGCGCGACATGACGTCGGCATGAACGCATGTTCACATCCCCATGTTTTATTCTCTAGCATGGAATACGTTGTCCCGGTCAAGATTGGAACCCCTGGCGTCACTCTGAACCTTGACTTCGACACCGGTTCGTCGGACCTCTGGGTCTGGAGGTGGGTGCTCCACAATACATGCGATACCATGGTCTCACACCTCGTGTGCTTATCCTACATGTCTTCCGTCACACAGCTCCGAGCTTGCTAACGTCAAGAGGAACGCCGAGGGTCACAACATCTACGACCCCTCCAAGTCCTCCACTGCCAAGAAGGCGTCCGGCAGTTGGAACATCAGCTACGGTGATGGCTCTTCCGCGTCTGGCAACGTCTACACCGATACCGTCACCATCGGCGACCTCGCTATTCCCGGGCAGGCTGTCGAGCTCTCTGAGAAGCTGAGCTCGAGCTTCCTTCAGGACAACGGCAACGACGGTCTCCTCGGTCTTGCTTGGCCCTCGATCAATACCGTCACGCCCAAGCCGGTTGCGACTCCGGTCGAGAACTTGATCAACAAGAAGCTCATCAATCCGGTAGGTCCAATATGTTCAGCCTTGTGTGCGGCATGCATTATGCTGACTATCGCCCATTCGTACAGCCTGTCTTCACTGTCAAGCTCACCCGTGGCGATACTGAGGCTGGCTTCTACTCGTTCGGTATGTGGCATATACCCGATCGTGTAATTCTAGAACGCTGCTCACACACATATGGGGTTATCAAGGTTTCATCGACACCTCCGTGACCTCTAACCCCATCACGTACACTTCGGTTGACAAGTAAGTGTAGAATGCACGGAACCGAATAGTGACGTTGTAACACGTGCCTTGCAAATAGCTCGCAGGGCTTCTGGCAGGTCCCGTCGGCCTCATGGTCCCTCGGTGGCTCCAAGAAGGAGCGCTCCGGCAACACCACCATCCTCGACACCGGCACTACTCTCCTCCTTGTCTCTGACGACGTCGTAGACGCCTTCTATGGTGAGCTCAATATCACAATTCGCTTCAGTCCACCATACTGATGCTCGACTCCCAGGCGCCATTGACGGTGCGAAATACGACGACCAGCAGGGGGGTTACATTTTCCCTTCGAGCGCCACCATTCCCGACATAGAATTCGCTGTTGGTGACCAGCTCTACAAGGTCAACCCTCAGGACATCACGTTCGGCGACGCTGGTAATGGTTACGTCTTCGGTGGTATCCAAAGCCGTGGCAACATGGACTTCGACATCTTCGGTGATATATTTTTGAAGTCCGTCTACGTCGTCTGTGAGTATCTTTTCCGTGATTGTTATGTTCCGCGTTCTGATACGTCGCTTCCAGTCAACCAAGGCGAGACCAAGGTCGGTCTTGCCCAGCGCGACGACTAGATGTCGTACGGATCTATACCCACAGATATGGAGGTTTTGTTGAATTTCCTTGTCAGACGGATGTTATAATGTTTTCATGAGCTGTGAAGTCAGAATGCGGACTGTGGAAATGGGATGATCCGTTGTAACCTGATTCACGATGTTACGAACACTGTGACACACGCCGAATAGTACCTGCTCGTGGGATTCTGTATACACACGTCTATAACCAGTATGTACTGATTTCATGGGTTGACATCACGGTATTGTTACGATTGGCAACTTCGGTTCAAGCCGCCATTTAACCTGCCCAGCCAACCAGAACGCCAGAGCGACGCGGAGGCTGGCCCTCCATCCCGAGCCCATCTGACCCACGGCAGCCCCACACTTTCTTCTTCTAGATCATGTTTCCGTGAGTACATCGTCTCTCTACATAAGTGCCCCACACTTTGAGACAGCGTTACAAGTCGTACAATCTATCACACCACCTGCAAAGTCTCACTGAGCACAAAGCGCCTAAGCGCTCTTCTCGTCGAGGACCTGCACGACCTTGCGCCCGTCCTCGGTTGTCTTGAGCGCCACCGTACGCTTACGAGCAGAGGCCATTGCCGGCCAAGGCTCGTCGAAGACTTCGTCGAGCTCCTCGAGTGTGCGGCCGCGGGTCTCGACGCAAAAGAGGAACCAGAGGACGGAGGCGCAGACATTCCAGACGACGAAGACGAAGTAGTACTTGTAGCCCCAGCGCTCGAGGCCAACCGAGTTGGCAAAGGTATTGATGAAACCGGCGCAGTTCGAAATGAGGATGTGTACTGTCAAAGACATGCAGATTGGTTAGTCTTTTGCTAGTGCGCGTGCGATGAATGCGGAGGGAGGAGGTAAAAAGTACGGAACGCAGAGATAAGAAGACGTACCAGCCATGCCCTTCGAGCGCATCTTCTGGCTCATGACCTCCGCGCAGTACAGCGCCTGCAGCGGGGTGTACGTGAAACTGTACACGATCCCGAACAGGAATATGAACGTGATAGTCGCGTGCGCCCCGTTGACGTTCGTGTTCCCCTTCTCGCCGTACTTGCTCGAGAGCGCCGCTACGATCGCAAGCAGGCACGCGAGCGCAAACGAACCGATGTAGAGGCGCGGGCGACGGTTGAGGCGGTCGGTGACGAGCGCGCCACTGAAGGCGCCGAAGCAGGAGAGGATGTTGTTCGCGAAGTTGTAAACGAGCTTGGTGTGGGTTGACGTTACGCCCGCGTTAGCCATCACGGTGGGCAGGAAGTAGGTGATGAGCTGCGTTCACGTGCTTTCGCGTCAGTACACGACGGCCAGGGGAATGGGAGGATGTGCGACGTACGCCGTTGCCCGCGAGCTGACCGTTGAGGCACATGAGCGCAAGCGCGAGGATGCGCCAGCGCGCATTCCGAGTGTCGAAGAGCGCGGAATAGTCCCAGACTGGCTCCATTTTGCGGACCTCGATCATCTCCTTGAACTCCTTGAGCTGGAGCTCGATGAGCGGGTTTGTCTGCCCGTCGTTCGAGTGGTACTTGACCATGACCTGGCGCGCCTCTTCGTCGCGCCCACGCGAGACGAGCCACCGCGGGGACTCGGGACAAAACCAGATGCAGGACATGACGATTGTGGGGGGTATGACCTATGAGTTCGCGTGAACGTTAGCGAGGCTCCGGTGTCGGTCAGGGTGCCGAGCGGTTAGACACACCTGGAGGATGAGAGGCAGACGCCATGCCCAAGTGCTGTTCATCGTCTGCGTACCGACCATGACACCTGTGGCGGGGATCGCGCCAATGAAGAAGCACGAGTTGTACATTGCGCCAAGCCGACCACGCCAGTGCGCAGGCGCGAGTTCAGTGATCCACATCGGGGCGGCGGTGGTGCTGATAGCGATACCGAAACCTAGCGTGAACCGCCCGCCAAGGAACATAGAGCGGCTCTGCGCGCCGGTTATTATTGCGGCCCCCAGGAGGATGATAGTACCGCCGACGAACATGCCCGCACGACGCCCAAATCGCTCGCTGGCCGGGCCGGCGAAAAAGGCCCCAGCACAATTACCCACGATGTACATCAGGAAAACTGGGGAGAGGGGGGTCAGAGATAAGATAGCGAAAATGGGGTACGGTATCGAGACGTCGGGAGATAAGTCCTTACTGATACCAGTGCTTGCGCCGACTTCCTTGTAGTGGAAGAAATGGAGATACTGGTCCATGGCATTAATGCCACCCATCAGGGAACCGTCAAAGCCTATGAATGCAATGGTCAGGGAACGTGTAGGAGGTTTTCAGATAACGACTTGTAAGACTGACCTGAAGAAACCGCGTTCAAGAAGCCGACCATGCAAATGAAGTAGAGAGAGAGCGCGCGGGTACTCCATGGGTCAAGACGAGTGTTGTCAATGGCGGCTTTGAGGTCAGCATGGAAGACAGTCTCCACAATCCTGGCGTCTTCGAGCTTGGCCGGACTGGAGGGAGAGTCGATGGGTTCTTTCTCGTCATAGCTATCTTCTCGATGGATGATCGACATAGCAGTTTGCTGAGCCTAGACGGACGGGGCCAGATATTGCCAAAGGTGTAGAGCAGGGATGATCCAAGTGATGCGGTGGGTCGCTCACGACGAGAAGCACCGAGAGCATTCTGTAGATATACACAGACTCCACACTTACATAGTGGTGCTGAGATGATTATGATGCCGGCAGCAAGAGACAGGGACAGGTCCCGTGGGCGAGGATATGCTGGCATATCTTGCGGGTAAGCCGATTAGCGCACTGAGATGCTATACTGGTGCTATCAGGTGCCCTTAAGCTCCTAGAGGGGCTTGGCAGCGAGTTTGATAGCTAACACGACTCACCCGAGCGCGCCACCTTTCGATATAGAGGTTGAGCGGTAGGCGCAGTTTCTGCCCAAGTGATTTTAGAATGCTACTGAAGTCCGTGATGGTACCTGCCAGTGCCTGCCGTCCTTGATAGGAGAGAATATGTGAGTACTATTCGTGTTTGCCTTACATGCTCTGCGAGCCAGAAGGAGTGCAATGTTGTACATGCCATCAGGTTTTGCACCGTCCAGTGTCGACGGCAATGAAGGCGGATGAGATTATAGATCACGTCCGCAGTGTTGCCAATAGGTCTTGAGCAATTGCACCGCACATCTCCTGAAGTCGCACGTTAAACCCACCATGACTGATTGAGACGAGGTGAACAAAATGCCGAAGGATCTGAAAATGGGGCAGCTGATGACTTACACCACGAGATCTAGCGGGGCTGCCGGATTAATTCGGCCCGGTAATCTCTGAATCCTATCTACCGCCACGAATAGGTCCAAGGTGGTGGCGCCGTGGCGGTTCGTGCCTTCCTTCGCTCAAAGCGCCGTGTAGAGCGCTCGAAAGATGAGCAGGAAGGTCGATAAGGAGGCTAAACTATCCTCTGCATGCCAGTGTTATCACTCACCCTTCCTTTCTAGAGATACCTTGCAAGGAACGCATGGGTCAAGGCAAACGGGATACCACCTGTAGCACCGCCCGTCGTCACAGGTTCACCTGTGAAGGATCCCACAAGCATGAACACCAACCACCCTTACTCGAACCCGAGCGCTTCCCGCACACCATTTTCGTCTGATCGTCCAATGTAGGCTTATTCAGGTAATCTGATCATAAGGCAAGTCGGACAAGGTACAGAATGGGGAGTGGAAGGACGATGCTCTGGAAAGCCTTATGTACGAGAGCTGGTATGCAACCGACTGTGTACAATGGCATCATATAGAAGGCAAATCCATAGACTGCTGCTATAGAAGCGTCAAGTTGCTCGCGATGGCTCATTCCATAACTCATGTGCGAAGTCACAACCTCACAAAATCGAGTCAAGCTTGAGGACCGTCAACGACCAATGTGCGAGACAACAGCACCCTTTATAGCTGAACCTCACTTTTGTCCTCTCTTCTGACTGCAATTTTGCGCTCGCGCGCCGAAGCCAACTATTGAAGACTGACTTCCTCGGGCTCCACAAGCGTCCGCCCACCGCCCACGTGTTGGGACACAGAACAGGCACCCCAACAGAGACGCGCATGCGTTGTCATACGACGAAAACAGTTTTATTTGTGGCTCCGGCGCTCGAGCCCAACTGTATTGGCGAAGGTGTCGATGAAACCCGCACAGCTCGCAGAGGTAATCTGAACTGGTGTTGATGCGCGAGATTTAGCGACGGCTACTGAGAACACAGGCAGCGGGAAAAGACGATGCTTACCGGCCATACCCTTAGCGCACATCAACTGGCTCGATACTTTTGCACAATACAACGCTTGAAGGGGAGCATAGATGAAACTGGACATCAACCCAAATAAGATCATTGCGATTGTCGCGTTCGCCCCACACGCTGCCGTGTTCCCCAGCTTGCCAAACATCCATAAAAGCGCGGGGACGATGGCGAGCAGGAAAGGATGCTGTTCGCAAAGTTGTGAAGGGGCTGCGTGTGCTTGTCTTTCACGCCTGCGTATGTTCGGGGCATATAGCGATCCCAGGTTATATCAAACAAGGATCATTTCCGCACCAAAACCATGCCCTAGAAACATAGCATTCGAGCTGTGAGAGTTTCGAGTCAGATGCGTAATCACGGGTAGGGTTCAAATCACGAACAAGCTATTGAAAGCACCAGTCTATAAGGTACGGCTCGGTGAGTACCAAGAGCGTGCGGTCTCCAGCAGAATGTCGTCCAGACTCTTCGCTACATGGCAATGAAGGCTCGTGATAGAGACCACCTGATCCGACGCCACGAAGAGCTGGCGCAGTAGGAATTTTGTCGCCGACAATGCTGCCAGACACGGCGCTAGTTGGACGAGTATTCGAGTTAGAGCGGCATGCTGAAACTTGCTGTTCGGCTTTTGATCCTGTGCTAGAAGGCAGCCGACTCCGCCTGATTTCCAGAAGGATTACGGCTGCCGCAGCCGCCTACACCACCTTTTGAGTGCCCTCACGACGATGCATATAGTCAGGAGCTCACCAACTTTGAGAGCAAATCAGGATGTCCTACAAACGTACTGTTTCACGGATGCTTGATAGACGCAGGACCGCTCACCTATATCCTCTATTGTGCACTCCCTGGACTCTACACGTGATGGCCCCTCCACCGGACTGGACTGCCGACTACTTGCAAATTGCGAGTCTGCCATCGTACAAGCGCAGCCAGAAGCCAGCCAAGCTAGAACAAGGAGATCAAAAGAGCGTCGCTAACACGCGTGGGTTACAAAGGCAGGTCGCTGCGAGTATAACGGAAGCAGAGGGCTCAGACGGTAGCGAACAACTTGAACCTCGCGGAGCACGGTCGGTGCAATGCTAAGAGCGCCCAGCTGCATTCAGCCACGATCACGTGGCGGAAACGGCCGCGACCGCGGCCCCAATATATCCTTGCAACAGCCTGAGAAATGCAATTCATACATCGCACGCATATATCGCCCTCATAAGCCTACAAATACATGATAGTTAAGAACTGCGATCTATTCTTCCTGCGGAACACGACCTGTTCACCGACTTCAACTTGAAGCAACAATCACATCACTCGAGAGTCGGCGGAGGGTTCCCGCTGCCCATCATCACCATCACACCCTCGCTGCTCACATCGTCGACGGTCAGGAAGATCGTGGCCGGGCCTGGAGGATACACACGTCCATTTGGAGGTGTCACGAAGGAGAGCGTCTTGCCGTTGTTCGAGATCGTCGCGTCCATGAACACCAAACGGGCGCCGACCTGGAATCCGTGAGTCGAGAATCCGAGGTCCATGAGCGAGACTGCGGTGCTCATAGTCAGCAACGAGCAGATAGGACGGCGACCATGTCCAACCTACCTTGTACGTTCGCATCCTGCCTGTTCAAGCTGTTCGGCAGCGAGATCGGCACGCTCACCCTCTTCCCAAAGCTCAACTTCTCCGGTGCGCTCAGGATCTTCGGCCTCTCCATAGACATGAACGGCGGGTCGAGCGTCTGGATACGCAGCTCGGTCGGGAACTCGAATCCGGTCGTGAAGTTGCTCCCGTTGTTCGGATTGCTTCCCCCGATGAAGACGTTGCCTTGGGGAGTCAGCGTCGCCGTGCTGTGGTACATCCGCGGTATGCCCGAAGACGGCATCCCGGCATTGCTGAAGCGCTGTCCAAGGGCAGCGGAGGGCGTGTAGAGCGCAGGCACGAGCGCCGCGTTGTCCGCGTTCGAGTTCCCGACGGTGTCGTTGACGGAGTTCCAGCCAGAGAAACCAGTCGATGCGCCGTTCACCAGCAGGATCTGACCGTTCGGCAGGTGCAAGAGTTCGTGGAGGACGCGCGCCTCTGGCATCTGCTCAACCTCCCATCCCTTAGCGATTCCCTCTGGGGTGACAGTAATCCGGGAGCACTGCGAAGATGCGGGGTGCTGTGCGGTGAAGTTGTGGGAAGTAAGGGTCTGGTCGAAGACAGAGCCGCCACAGACGAGGATCTCAGGGGTGAAGTCGGGCGGGGAGAGCGGAAGCATGATTGCGGAGCCGTCTGAAGGTGGGTTGACGGCGATGCCGTTGGGGAGGTCTGGCAGGATGGTCTCGGTATCGGCCTCGATGTCGTAGATGATAGTCTGGTTGTTGGCCACCATGAAGACAGTGCCGTCTGGTAGCGCGAAGATGCTGCGAAGATGTCTCGTGAGCAGACCATCGTAGGAAACTACAGCAGGTACAAACGTACCGAGGGAAGAGATTGACAGGAAGACTGCGTTCCAGGAACGCAGATGGGCGCGAAGTCTGCTCCTTGCGAGGAAAGAATTCGAAGCTGGCCGCAGGGTCCGTATTGTAGAACGCCGCCTGCTCGTGCATGCCGCCCACAATCAAGAGACTGCCGTCGAATATCCGCGTCGCGGATGGGTACCACCGCTTCTCAATGAGGACGAGGTTCGGGTCCTCGATAACAGTGCAGCCTTCGCCGACTGGCGACGTGCACGGCTCGAAAAGACGGATGGCCTGGTTCCCAGGCTTGATGACGGGGTTTCCGGGAAATCCAGTTGGATCCCCACCGATGCTAGCCTATCAGAAGATGCAGTCGTGTGAGTATATGTATATGTCGCATAATGACACGACGCTAGCTCACCATGGTTCCATTGCTGAGAATAGCGCCGCTGGCGCACCACGAGTTGGTGACAACCTCAAGAGCGGTGATGTTGTTGTGCTCGAGGTTCCAGAGCCCGCCCCATGCCGGATGATCGTCGATCTGGAGAGGATCGTTCTGCGCACGGTCGAATAGTAGGACAAGCGTCGGGTTGACGACGATGGCCTCGAGTGCAACAATACCGGAGTTACCCTTGAGGGTGAACTGCCACCCTGGAGCGTCGGGCGCAGCGGGCGCCGCATAGGCAAAGGAGGCCAGGAGCGAGAGGAGAGACAGGAGGGGACGCATCATCTTGTCTATCTGGTGCTGGTCTACCCTAGTACGCGCTACCAGACTGGTGAATACGGGGCGAGAAACTAGCGGTCTTTATAGGCCGGGCATTCGTTCCAAATTCGCAGAGCTTCGAGGGGATAGTAGTCGAAGGCTGCCACGAAAAGCGGAGTCATGAGGCCTTTCTGCGAGTTGTTTAGTCACCTGGAACATGGAAACGCGGCTTGGCGCGTTCGGCGAGCCTTCTCAGGTCTTGTCCCTGGTGAGCATAGAGAAGGTGAACCGTGGTACCTATCACACTAATTGCAGCAGTATAGAGCTCACCCGTGCGACACTCTTCCAGGATTGCATTGGTAACAGAATTTGATCAGGAGTCGAGTAGCTTGGCTGGTACCTTAGCTTGCAGAATCTACATGGCTCAAGCTCGTTCCTGAAGCATTTGAATGAAGAGAACCGATTAGCAGAGTTCAAGGGTGATAGATCTGAGTATTTGGTGAGGTCACCTTGATATGGTCGTGGTAGCAACACCCACGAGAACCATCAGTGGCAAGTCAGCTGGCGTATTAGACAGGTCACCGTCGCACGAAAGCCCAGTCAATGGATACGATGCAGCTAATAAGAGGGAGACCTTCGCTATATTTCGCAGCGCGGAAATAGCCAGGAACGTTCATTGCGCGCGGCCTGTCCAGCGAGTAGTGTATTTGGACATTGAAAGGCAGCGAAAGGCGCTAATACAAGACTCCTCTCCCGCGCCATACCATTTAAGAGAGTGTCAACCTACCAGAAGACTGGGACCATCATTCTGCGTGGAGCGTGGACCTACAGCTCATGGCTTGGTCATGACCTCGGCGCTCCCACAGACGTCTACGATGCTCTTGAGAATACCATTCATAGTTTTATGGCGGATGGCAAAGCATAAATTGCTCGAAAACCGGTCTCAGAATTACCAGACCAAGATGCCTTTCTGTGGAGCGGATTGGCATGACAACCCGTCTACTAGTCACATACCTTGAGCCGAAGGGCTGAATCTCACTGGTCGCTGAACATACAGCTTCTCCCCAGGGGCTTGTGCACGTACTTGCGCCGGCCTAAAACGCCGTAAGGGACAGCGAAGCAAGACTGTGGGGACGCTTTGCCTATGAATAGTTGTCAACACGAATCGATCTGCAACGGGAGGAACAAACGGCACCGTGTCTTCATTCCAGCCAATGCAGAGCGCACAGGCGGTCCATTTGTTCCGAGAGCCTCAGCAGCCTTGAACCGGCGGTGTTAAAGATGGGATGCGTGGCACGCCCAGTTTCTGACAATAGTCTGAGCAAACTGGAGCTCGCTGAAACAGAAGTCAATGTATCTGGTATCCGAAAGTCCAGTGCCGAAGTCCGAGCTTGCAACGGTCGAAAAGAAACATGCACAGCACGGCAGGGAATCGGATACTTCCAGCTGGAGAAAAGTCTCTGAAAAGGTGACGCGCGAGGCAAACAATCCGTGAATATGTGGCGTTTCTGGATAAAAGTCATTGATAAAACGACGGGCTGTTGCCTTTTGCGTCCCCATTTCATCGACTTTTCTCCAATCGAAAACATCCGATTCCCTGCCGTGCAGGCGTTGGATCGTGAACGGTATATCAGCTCACGGTCGCGTGCCCGACGTGTCCATAAATAGAAGCGCGTCTATGGGTGAGCGCGTACCCGGGCGACCCGGTCCACGCCGACTCGCTTGCCGATATGTACCGCTTCATATATTATAAGTACTTCAAGTTACATACGTGCATCTTGTCACCGAGTCCCCAAGGGGTTCGCTTAGTGCATTCCATCGTCCCCCAGAAACTGAATCATTAATGTTGAGGCGGCAGCCGAACACATGGCAGCATACCGTAAGTATATTATGTGAGAATGGATTCCGACTCTCTGTGGAATGTTAGCTGCCAGCCCCATCCCCATAGGCGACCTTGCCACGCTAATTCATAGACCACGGAGCTCCTACCACTCTGCTAGCTTATCGTCATGTTGGGCCCAAATGGCCCTTCTACCTCCAGAGCACCTGCGCATCCCGTCGACGAGCCGGTAAGCTTTGAGATGGTACACTGATCCTACTTATATCACGAGTACTGACTTTGGTGTTGAGTTGGCTGATGACGTTCGGTTCCTTCCTACTCGCGTTCTGGACGACTAGATAAGGAGCAGACCACTCACTCATACCGTCCCCGATGACCTCAATGTCTTCACAATTCTGACCCTCCGCACACTTCTCCATCGATCCTGTATATCTGGACAGTCAGGTCCAACGGAAGACGAGCTCCTTGATCTTCTCTCAGCCCAAGGCCCATACGAACTTTGGATGAACCGTCAAGCGGTCCGGGATACGATCCAGCGATTAGCAGAAGAGGCTGAGGACTCGGACCGGACCGGAGACAGACAGGCGTCAACGTGTACCGCGGCGTTTGCGCCGTTCGTGCCTGCGCTCAACGAAATGCTTAAAGTGAACGATGAGCAGCGATGGGAGATGCACCACAGGCGAGTGCAGGGGACATTGGGAGATTTGGAGCGAGACGGCCGAGTAACAGCCGAGTACTACCGAGGTTACTTTGAGGTGTTCAGGCAGCTGCCCGGCTTCGACGACACGCATGAGGCTATGGAAGGTGGCGCTCACTGGCAACTGTCAGCAGACGGTTCCAGATGAACGTTGCGTGTGGGGACTCAACTCCCTTCGCAAACTCGTGCAGATGTGAGGAGGCAAAGGAACTCTAACGATACAGTAATCGTGTCCGCATGGTAGTATACACGTGCAAAGGATCATGACAACATTCAGATCTTGCTGACCTCCACATGAAACGCACTCTCCTTGTCGCTCGCATGCTCGGGGATGGGAGGTTTGTTCTCGAGCACGAGCATGTCTTCCTCGACGCGCTTTTGCTGCTCGGCACGAACTTTGTCGCCCTCGTACACTGGTCATGGATCGCATCAGCAACGCATCCCGGGGGGAAAACTAGTGCGTACTTACGGAAAGCAAGTTCCTCGAGGGAGCGGTTGGCCGTCTCTGGGAAAAGGAAGTAGACGAACAAGATCTCGAATACCAGGAAGACGCAATAGCTGATGTAGTACTTCCATCCTGCGTATCGGCAAGGTCACATGAACATGTGTCAGGGGCCTCCAAGATGGAGGATACGGACCTGCGTTGGCGATGCCAATAGGGTTGACGAACTGGTTGAAGAATCCTGCAGCACGACTCCACCATTGAAAGACTGCGATACCCTTGGCACGAGCATGGAAGGGGAACAGCTCGACAAGGAACGCTGAAGACGGCACGATGTCAGTACCAGCGCAGGCACATATACAGATGACCACATACTGTATGTGAGCGCGTTGTATGCCATGTTGTACGCTGGGCTGTACAGGAAGATAAACGCGATCACCGCGCGAGACGCGCCTTGGCTACCCGTCTCCGCATACTTCGCACTTGCGACCGTCCAAGCCGTGAAGATCACGGTTAGCGAGATCGTGCACGCGAGGTAGCCTACCCTCCGGGGGAGCTTGGGCATCGTGAGCGCGAGCGCCGTCCCGTTAATGAAGCCCCAGCATGTCATCGCCAGATTGATCAGATTCTGCGTCCTGTCATCCGTGATACCGACGCTATCGAGGATGCGCGCAAGGAAGTACGACGTCAGTCCGTTCCCGCTCCACTGCGTCGCGAGACCAAGGAACGAGCAGATGAGCAAGCGCTTGCGCATGCCCGGGGCGAGCACGAACTCGCGCCAGCTACCTTTCTGCTGCTCCTTCTCGAGCTCGAGCGTCTTCTCGATCTCTGCATACTCGAGCTTCACGAACTCTGAGTTCACGTCGCCCTCGGCGTGAAACTTTGCGAGGACCGCGTAAGCCTCCTCGCCGCGGCCCTTCGAGATGAGCCAACGAGGGGACTCCGGGAGGAACCAAATGAAGACGATCTGGAGGACGGAGGGGGTGACTTGTAGGATGGATGGGATGCGCCAACCCCAGTTGGTAGGCATCTGGAAGGTGCCGAGGGTGACGCCCGCGGCCACGATTGCGCCGATGAACCAGGACGCATTGAACAGTGAGCCCATGCGCGCGCGCTCCTTGGGGTGTGCGAGCTCGCCGATCATAGATGATGCGGCGACGATCGCGAAGGGTATGCCGAAGCCGAGGAGGAAGCGGGCGATGACAAACATCGCGACTGTATAGTACATGTGCATGGAGAGAGGTCGGGTTAAGTGAAAGTTTGATGAGGAAGGAAGAAGACGAGAACCTACAGTCTTGTGACGCACACTGAAGGGCAGCACCGATGATCATGATCACGCTACCAAACGCAATAGCCCACCGGCGACCGAGCTTATCGGTGACGAGAGGGACGAATGGGAGGGAACATATCGAGCCCAGGGAGTAGAGTGCAGACAGAAGTCCGAGGATGGTGGATCTGGGGTGACCGAAGACTAGCGATAGTCTGGGCATATGTGCATTGCTTCAGGAACCAAAGCACGTACATGCATCCCAAGTCGGTACCGCCTGCAAGCCATTCATCATTGACGAGTCGAACCTATCGTCATAAAACCTGTCATCTTATCTTCATCTCAGCACCGATCATGAAACTTACCCGCTAGTCATTTCGATACCGATACATGTCGGGAACATGAGGAGGTACAGGAGGCGCAGATTCTTCTTCCTGTACCATGGCACCTTGTCCTCATCAATGTACCGATTCAGAGCCGTGTCGTTTCTCCCAACACCGATCGCCATTGGGTCTGGCTCGAAATTGTGTCGACAAGATAGCACTAAGAGCAAGGAGCAACAGGCGGGAGACGGGACACCTGAGAAGGACACTCTATCGCTTCCTGTCTTTCCTCTCATATATACGCCATTGTCAACCTAAACCTATTTGCGATTTGGGTACGAGCGTGAGCACAAACGAGATGTAACGCACGATGTGGCAGGAAAACTCGTACGCTGATCCATGAAATCTCCGAGAAGTCTTCTTGGCATCCAGATTTTCGCTCCCGACGAAGAAGGCGGAGAGGTCACGACCTGTGTTCAGGACGTGCCACGTGCAGCCTCGCTTATACCTGTACAAGCAGGGTGATTATGGAGGGTCTTACTGCAGCTATACATTGTTGAACCCAGAAGGAGCTAGGCAATGATGAACAGAGTAGGATGTCAAGTGCCATCATGAATGGGTGCCACCGGGAAATCATCGGGCGAGGGAGTGATCGTGAGGACCTGCCGGCGGTTTCTTGGCGTTCGTTGAATGGGATACGTGCCTGCGGAGCCCGAACATATTGGGCGTTGAATGAGGATCCATCACGATATATACGTGTAAGCAACTCAACCCGCACGACATCGCTTCGCAGCCCCAGGTCGAGGAGATTCCGGGGTATCAGAATGTTGCAGTCTATCAGCCTACCCCACACTTCGATCGTGAGGGACTGATGGGTCCTCAGGTTGGCTTCCACTGTTGAGGACTCGAGAAGAGCTTGCCATAGACAGCGCGTTTACATGGTAGACAAGCGTGGAATGCGATTAAGACGGAACCGCTGGAAGACGATCTCTCACCCAGTCACGACTGGATGCCGATGATACTTCATGAAGATCCGGCATGAGCGTGGCGGAGGAGATTAAGGACGTCTTCTACTCACATAATATACAGAGTCCAAATATAGAGAGTGCTACAATTCGCACCCGAGACCCATGCGATGATGTGCAGCGGCCAAGACAGCGTCGATCGTGCCCGTTGTGCAAATGTTCGAGTTCGAGGCTATTCGGAAAGAAGACGGGATTGTCTGCTGAGAGGACACAATGACCGGCTGGGTATTTCCACATTGTAGAGTGTGGCTTGTGAGGCTCTGCTACTGCATGATAGTCTTACTCAGGTGCACGATACCGGTGCGGCCCGCATCTCCGGACTGTGTAGCAGTCGTTCGCATGCGTAACCGACTTCAACTAACGACCCCCACTGAATGTGCGGTGTACGTGAGATGGAGCGTACACATAAGACTTGACTGAGCGAGGACGTACTCACCGCGTCCTCAGAGGTTTGGCCGTTTCTCCGACTATTAATCATCTGTGGAGCAAGAATACCCAGGGGAACTTCTGAGAAGGAGGCGGCACTCCATGCGGCGTGCATCTTGATCCGAAATGCTGTCTTGCGTCTGACCTTCGTCATCCCGCTGGCTACTCTCAAGCAGCCAGCTCGGGCTCTCGCTTGTGCCGTGTTTCAGTGGCCATGGATGCTAGCTGTCTCGAGTGTCTTTGGCCGCTCGGAAATCGTTCAAGCCTGTTATTTCTGCAGAGTAGCATCGCGTCCAGAGCGCAGTATGCAGTCGAAGGAGTTTTGTGTGTCACCAGTGCATTGAGTCATAGTCTCGGAAGAGAGCCGTTACCATATCGGGCGGACGCGTCTGTATAGCATAGGCGTCTACACGCTCGTCCTGCTTGCCCAACGCCACAGCGACTCGGTCTTGCTGTTCCATCCTTCTCTAGCCCCCTTACTCCTTAGGGATCCATCAGCCCTAAAGTAACAGCGAGAAATATTGCTATAATCTGCCAAGATGATGATCAAGGTGAAGGTGAGTAGCATAATGAGCATACGACAAGTGCATGGGCGCGCCACTGATGACATCCCGCCTGCTATCCAGACGCTTACGGGCAAGGAGGTACGTAGATCATTCTGTCGTAATGCTAGAAATACAAGCCTTCACTGCAAGCAACCATCCTGACATGGTGCGAACGGTAGATCGAGCTCGATATCGACCCTGAGGATCAGGTGTGTGGCGTATATATCGTTTTCCACTCTACCGCTCAATACACGGCTGTCTTTGGCGCGCTTTAGGTCTCTCGTATCAAGGAGAAGGTCGAGGAGCAATCTGGTGTGCCCCCACCGCAGCAGCGGTTGATCTATGCTGGTAGGCAAATGTACGTGTTTGTTCCTGCGATGATTCCACTCGTTTCTTCGTGCCAACTTGTGCTGCAGGGCGGATGACAAAGTCGTCAAGGAGTTCAATATCGCGGCCGGAGCTGTACTACATCTAGTGCTTGCGCTCCGTGGAGGCGCTTGCTAGACATTGATCATGATGATATTTTGACATTGCTAGGAAGGCCTTCGCCGAACGCACTTCCCCTTGACTTGACAAGTGCTTTGGGAAGAAGGTGCGCGTGGGCGGAGATCAAGGAATATAAGAAGTTCATGTGGTGTATTCTCTGCAGTGCGTTGTATCCATGTTAGACCCATCACAATTCGCAACCGCTTTCACTTGCTTTCTTGCACCTCTGTACTTTTCTGTGCGCGCGCGATAGAGCAGCTTCTATGGGGTTCCTTGTTGGTTTTCATGCCACGCCAGCAATTCTTGTACATCATAGTCTGCTTATAGAGCGCCACTAAGGGCAGAATATTGGTGTTTGTGACCAGACACTGGACGCAGGGCGCCGCAGATCAGACAGAGGAGCCCGGATCTCGCCTTGACGCAAAGGCAACTAGCGATCCAGCTCAAGACCTGCTCATTGCAAGCGCCATGAAACTTGCCCTCATCCCGTCCACCCCCACCGACGGTACGTACCGACCAGCGGACTTGTGATTTCAGGATCTCTCTGACGTCTTGGAGCTGGTAGATCGCACGATGGTCGCGCATATATGCATTTCTTGCAACACAGGATCCAAGCGATGCTCCGGATGCAAAGAGGTCTGGTATTGCAGCGCAGTGTCAGAAAGCGCACTGGACGACCCACATCTTCAGCTGCAGGATCGATAAACCTATCGACAGTGCTTACCATCTCGCTCGCGCATGCAACGACAGCCGCATGCCTTCAGACATGCAAGCCAGGATCGACTACGGATTCGATAAAGCCCTTGCGATTGTGGGCATCGACGCCCAGCTCCTCGGTCTGTGGAGCTGGATATGCGTCTGCAGGGCCATTCCACCGCAAGAGGTGCGTAGATGGAGGCAGCAGGGGAGACTCATCGAAGGCGTCAAGACCGTATTCGAGGCCGTTCCCCTCAGTCAGCGCGGCGTGTACTATGCATGGTTCCTGCAGTACCAGTGGCTCCTGGACGGGACCCCCCACGACGAATCCATCGCTAGCAAGAACTTCGCGGCGCTGGTCGGTAACATGCTCATAGCGGCCTGGAGATTCACTGGAGGCTCATCAAATGATACCGCGGCGAAGATATGCCAAGAAATGAACGCCCTCCCTCTCACACGACGAGCCTGCTACGACCTCTATTCAGTCCTCATATGCGGCAGCAGTCCTCACCCTGTACGAACACTCTGGGTGGACTTCGGTTTCGTCGCTGCGATGAACGGAGTGGAGGAAGATGAGCTGAGAGCCAAGTACATGCAGCTCATCGAGGTCTGCTCCTTCGGCGAGTTCTGCACCGCGTATGAATCCTCGTCCATCCCCGCCCTTTTCGAACGTTACGGCGTTTCTGTCTCTCACTACCGTCTCTTCCTGGACGTCATGGCCGGCACTCCTTCGGACAACAAGTCCGTCTGGGATCTAAAGCAGTACATCGATATCCTTGCCTCTCCTGTTCCGGAGCACGTGGATCACCCTCCGGAGCCGTTCCTCATCGCCTTCGTCGACTACGGCTTCGCTAACTGCAAGGACCCGGACGACAGCAAGCTGCTGGATGACCTGTACAAGAAGCTTTTCTGGGATTCGCTTGTGGACCCGCTGGAGCTGCATGAGGCTCGCGTTCGCGGGCGGCTGCTGGAGTATGTCAAGAAGTTCAAGTTCGTAAAATATTCACCGCACGCGGCGAAGTACTCCCGGTTATTGAAGAGCCGACACTCCGTATCTGTCCTTGCTTGAGAGTACGTTCAGACATGTTTATAGGGAGCGGTACACTTTCTGACCTTGATCTGGAAGACGCATCCAGCACGAGACCATACAGTCGATGATTACGCTGCATTCACGAATTTCTGCGCCCTCCGAGTACCGCCTTAATCATTTGGTGATGCTCGCTTTGGACGGCCGTATTGATCTACTCTCATTATAGATGATAATCTTTGGCATGCCTTGAGTCAATTTATATCGGTGGCTTACTGTACTTAGAGCGCTCTTTGTAGGTTTGCGACGCTGTCTGGGCTGTACTGTGACGCTTGAGCTGACCTTGAATGCAGCTAGGCAGGCGCCCAATAGGCGCGCGAGCAACTGAGCGACCGACAAGAATTGAGCACCCCTTGTACCTAAGTACGCACACATCTCGGCTACTACTTGTCGCTGGGCGCTCAGATCCGATCTCTGTACTCTGGACATCATTACAACGATGTCCTGGTCCCGCTTCGCAGGTTGTACTTCCACGTAGATCGTCGACTCCCACGCAATAACCTCCTCGTAGACGGTCATACTCCACAAGCGCGGTTTCGTGCAACAGCACTCTACCTATAGGCAGCTCCCGCTCTGTCTACGAAACCAGGCTTCCAATCGCTTGCACCATCCAATTCACATCGAACGCAATCGACCGCTAGGAGTACTGTCCGCCTTCGAGACCGTCCGCAGCAATCAAACGCAAGGTTATACTGACATGCCCTAGGAGTCTGTGACACCAGGAAAGGTAAGAAAATTCAGAGTTTGTTCGCTCGGGACTTGCCTTGGAACGCCCCAGAAACGAACCAACTCCTCTTGTTCTCAACTCTCAAGCTCAAACGCCCCTCGGAAATCTTACTCCTTGCTACACCTGTAGGTACTCGTTGTTCACCTTGACCCCTGCCGTATGCCTCATAGAGAGTTTCAGGATTATAGGATGGTCGTTCGCATCTGTGGTAGTTGCCTGGAAGAGGCCTCTAATCCCAAGCGGTGTTCCGGATGTCGCAACATTTGGTACTGCAGCACCAGGTGTCAAACTGAGAACTGGCAATATCTCATCCCTGTCGACGCTCAGACTCGGATCGACTACGGTTTCGACAAAGCATCCCGCGTCCTGGGCCCTGAGGGGGAGACGATGATGTGTGGCCTGTGGAAAGGCATCTTCGTCTTTTTCGACATTGATACCAAGGAGGTCAGTACGTGGCGTAAGGAGGGCAAGCTCGTCGAGAGGATTAGGGAGAGATTCGAGACCATCCTGGAACATAATAGAGGCGCGTACTGTTCATGGTTCCTCCAGCGTCAGTGGCTACTCGATGTTATACCCGCGGACGAATCCAAATCTCATCAGAACGCTGTGTCCAGCGCAGACCAGGTGCTCCGTAAGGACTGGACGATTACCGGTGGCTCCTCATAGGACAGCCCGCAGGACATCCGGAGGAAGCACGCTACCCTCCCCCTCGATCGTGCCACTTGCCATGCCCTCTACTTCTGCCTGGTCTCCGGAGCCCATCCCAACCCTGTACAGGATTTGTGGCTGAAATTCGGCTTCGTTGCGGCCACTTGTCAGGGCGAGGAACTCGAATTCGGCCGGAAGTACATGCAGCTCATCAGACTCTGCACCTTCGACAAATTCTGCCTCGCCTTTGAAACCTCGTCGATCCCGGCTCTCTTCGAACGCTGCGGCCTCTCTATGTCTCATTCGCGTATGTTCCTCGACGTCATGGCTAGCTCTCCGAGGTCCTACAAGTCCGTCTGGCTCTTGAAGCAGTACATTGATCAGCGCGCCTGCTCCGGGCCAAGCGACGAACCGGACCTTTTCTCGGCTGCACGGCTAGATTACAGCTTTGCCAACTGCAAGAATGCACTGGATCAGAAGCTCCTGGATGACTTGTATAGGAAGCTCTTGTCCGAGTCCCGTGCGAGCCCCCCTTGGGCTACATGCCGCATGCATCAAGGGCCAGCTCCTGGAGTACGCGAAACGATTTGTAAAGCTCGCCCCGTACTTGACCAAGTATACACGACTTCTTGAAAACTCATACCCCCTTCCAGTGTATGATGATTCTGTACGTCATCGTGCGATGTATCGTGTAGGTCGATTGCTGACATCAGAAGCGTCTCCAGTCCGACCAGGCAAGTACGACGGAGGCCGAACCTGATATACCCTCGGAACATCTTGACCACCTCTGGACTATGACTGTACTGTACGTGATGGTTCATTGTCGTCTTTTTCTGATCGCTGTTCGACATTGAAAACGTTATCAGCGCGATGGACCCGTTCCTACTACCACCGAGGCCTCTCTCCCGGGCACGATGGCCGGAACGCCTTCACCCCTGCCACCTGATGACTCTATTTCAGAACCTTGGTCCTGCTTGATTGTATAATTGGAGTCTGTTCCCTCCATGGCACTCGAAGCCCGGTTTCAGACGACCTGCCCTGAAGTATGTGGGCGCCTCTGCACAATCACCCCTCGTAATCGATACCATCAAGTACTTCTTCACTGTAATATACGTCTCCATCGGACGCATGAGCTTGTATCTGTGGTGACGGTTCTAATGCTGGTATGGCAAGGAGCCTATTGCGTAAGAACCAAGTACCAGCGTGCAGATTTAACCCCCGAACGTCCTAATTCACCTCGGCTCCGGTTCTGTGCTCCTGGTCTTCCTTCGTCTCGTGCCACTCAGATAGGTCTTCCCGTTTCCACACATGATGATGGATCGCTTTCTGACTGTGCGATAACACGGAGACTAGATCCACGTGGAGACTTCTTCACATGAGGGATGTTCTGACCGGTTCTCCCTACGCAGAGGGTCCTCAGGCCTCAAGGCCGCACCCCTCATTCTATCTCAGAACCAGAGGATATATATATCACCTGGTCGTCCATCGCATTGTTATCTCAGGTCTGCTTTCAGATTCAGCTGCACGGGCACTGTTGAGATATGCCGCGAAAGATCTTGATTGGTTTCGGAGTCGACGCCGATGCTGCGTCTGTATGGTACGTCGCAATAGGTTGTACTTCTGCTGTGAGTGTTGAGGATATTAGCCCTAGGATTGCGGAGACCTCCCCGGTAGACGTTTCCAGGGTGGGTTTCTTTGGCTCCGGCCTCGGCTTGGGATCGACAGTGTTCTGACACGTCTGTAGGGGATGTATGGTGGCGAGGTCTGCATTCCTCGCCTCCTGAAATTGTTTGCCAAGTACAACATCCAGACGACTTGGTTCATCCCCGGTGAGCTATTGCATATCCGTAGTCTGTAGCGGGGTAATCATTACTGATCCCTGTTCAGCGCATAGTTTGGAGACATTCCCGGAACAACTGGCCGCTGTCCGGGATGCGGGGCACGAGATGTCAACTCTATCTTATTGTTGAGAAAAAAGCGTCAAACTGAGTGGTTCCGATTTTCACAGTGGAATGCACGACTATCTCCATGAGCGACAGTCGAAGTTGACCGTCGAGCAGCAGAAGGATGTATTGGATCACGCATACGATGTCATCACCAAGTTCAACAACGGCATCGGAGTTGCGCTCCATGCTGGGACCCAAGTCGAGACAGCGCTCGGCTACTCCTCGAGAAAGGAATCGAGTACGGTCAGTACGCACAACTGGAATAAATCCTTCAGCTACTAAACAACGATCGATAGATCATTCGGACATGGCTCACGAGCACGTATCTTGCTCATCTCTCCCGGCTATGTTTGACTGATCGTCAATTACAGCCTACTACTTACGGATGGGCGACGACCGGACAAAGATCGACTACCAGGCCAAGGCAGAGACATGGATAAAACCTCTCCTTCGAGAAACGGAGACAGGCTTGGTTAAGATTCCGACTAATTGGTACGCATCAGTGCAATCCCTCGTTAAAAAACGTTCTGACTTGGCGAGCAAGGTATCTCGATGACTGGCCGCCTCTAATGTGAAGAAGCACTCTCTCTATGCTCAGCAAACCCCTAACTCACTGCGATGACGTACTAATTTCAGGGCCGCAGCTGGGAATCCTAACGGCTGGGTAAGTTTGCTGAGGTCAGTGTGGAATGAGCGTGTCTCTGAATGATTGCATCAGGTCAACACACGAGACGTCGAGCAGCTATGGAAGGACACGTTCACCTATCTAGTCACATTCGGGGTCTTCTTCCCGCTAACTACGTTTCCTGACTTGGTCTTGCAGGGAGGAAGAAAGTTTCATCTCCCTATATCTATACATCCAGACGTCAGCGGGTGAGTTTCCCGACAGAACCTGTTCAGCATCGCTTACACGCTTGAACGTTTTACGTTAGCCGGCCTCACGTACTCCTGATGCTGGTGGGTTTCTACTCAGAGAGTATACTATAGCCCTTCTGACTCCCCTACTCGGCCTCAGGAGCGCTTCATTGAATGGGTAAACACTCACGAAGATGTACAGTGGGTACGTATGCTCGATATGGCTAACGAATTCCGCGGTCGAGTCTCGCCGGCCGCCAACGCCATTCTGCCTCAAGGACTCGCAATCTAGCAGACAGAGGTGCGAGCGTTGAGTTTCCAATTGAGGTTTCTGGCCTATGACGCCTCCGGAATATGATGTAGGGCCCGAAGAAGGTTCAAAAGACCAGAATAGGACAGTGACTGCACCATATACGTTTCAGAGAGAATGAATTGCTGTCGCGATGCCCAGTTCCCCACTCAATTGCCCATTATGTGCTCTCCAATGCCGCCCTGTATTTATTTGCGTGTACAACAAGTTCCCAGTGTTGTTGAGAGGGGCGCCGTGTGCGGTCTGGGTTATCGCTCGGCTTCAAATTGAGGTTCATTCCGACGTTCAATACCGGTCCCAATGACCCCAGATGTTGTAAAAGCCTCATGTTGTTGTTCTCAAGACACAGGCTTGGCGCGCGCGCGAGGAGATGGCGCCAACGGCACATGATTCAGGTTATAGATCAGAACTCGAGGATCCAGCCCTGCCCTAAACTAATGCCTGAGCGTCGCGACGACGGAACGACGCGCCACAGACCAAGTCCTCGTCCGCTAAAACATGTCAAGAGTTAGGGCGCGGTGAAATAGGTCCGCCGATGAGATTGACGGGCTAAATAGCACTGGGTCCCGGCAAGCTCGAGATTTACAGGGGTAAATGACAGTGAATTACATCAGTGGTGAAATACAGTGAATAACGCATCAGAATGGTCAAATAGGTATCAAGTACACCAGTTGGACGGATCTTTGGCGAAAGATCGGCGCTAACAAAAGTCAGGCTTATTGAAGAAGCTGCCGCCTAGGGTTCTATCTGCAAAACCTTAGCCCAACTCTGGACCCAACTCGTCCACCAATGGCTCGTAGTCTCATGCCAGGCTTGTGTGCGTGCGGGACACCCTGGACATCCGGCGTGCCTTCCGGCGTGAAACACCTTGAGTCGACGACAATGGGTAATCTGTCTGCTAAGACCCTCAATTATTAGCAGATAAGATATGCAATATTACCGCCACTGATTCAACTCTTGGGGGCGGGGCGAGCACTTACTGTGATTTGGATCATAATGCCGCCGGTTTGATGCATATCAGACGATGCCTCACATGCGATATGGCTTGTGTCACATGAGCAGCGTTGAGTAGCTGATTGACCCAAATTGACCCACCCATTCCGGGCGTCTGCAGATTTACCGGTAAATTACGTGTAAATTACATAGGCTAATATGCATAGGTCAACCTCGGTCGCGAGTTTCACCGTGCCCTATCAAGAGTTGACTATCGCTGCCAAATTTCATCGCCTTCATGACGTATTGCACTGACATTGAAGAATACACATGCTTGGTGAGAGTTTCTACCATGTTGTATGAGGTACCGGTGGTGATGAGGTACCGGGTTCGCCCTTCGTTCCACTCGGCAGATCGCACAGGGAGCGTTCCGTTATTCCGAGCCTTTGCAACTTTACAGGGAGTGCGTGTCTTGGATTGACGCTACCGCGTCGAGGGTAACACAAGCGTTTGGTGCCTGCGAGCGCTGTACTCCCTTTCCCGCTGTTACGGATGTCCGTGGTCTCGTGCTCAGACGTCTGGGCATGAGACCAAAATGTCCTCTGTCATTATAGCACTCCAAGCGTGCCGTAACGGCCGGCATCCCCGCCGACGCGCAATCCGTTCGGCAAAACAGAAGTATACCAACGTGGCTAGCCGGCATAGCGTTCGAGCTTGCGAAGAGGCTCTGGACCCCATGTTCATGCCTGTGTACGTATCTCTTTGACCCACAGGAGCACCGAGATAGTCGGTCCCATGAACGCGAATTCATACCCACGCCATGGAGAGATGAAATACCAGCGTAACTTCGGAATCGTGGTATGGTGAATCGGCGAATCGTAAGCTGCAGCGCCACAGGGCTTCCGGAGGTCTCGGGTACGTCCACAGCTACCAAGTGTCAGAACACCGGTATCGCTTGCGAATGTATTGCAAAGTCAGAGCGGGACGCCGACCAGTCAATGGTGCTATAGTGGATCCATAGTCTTTGCGCCCGAGAGCCAGGAGTTGTCTGTGGGTTGGGCGGGAGCACTATGACTCTCTGGACTTCTGCTTCTGCTTCCCACCTCGATATTCTCATCTCCTATCGGGATATACTCCATCAGGTACAGGCTCCTGCCACATATATCAATCTCCGTTCACCACGCGGCTGGCTATTCCTGCACTCTGCATATACTGCACTTTCCCTCGTAGCAAGCTAAACGAGTCTTTCGGTGAGTTCTCGACTAACTTAAGACGACTGAGTACTTGACTCCGTATGCCGATGACCTTTTTGTCGCAGAATATTGAGAATGTCCTTCTTCTTCGCACCCGCACCCGAGCCTGCCACTCGTCTTGGCTACTATCGCAAGCTGGCGCCCCGCGCTGCCGTTCACGTTTCCCCTCTCTGTCTTGGTGGCATGAGCATTGGTGACAAGTGGGCTGCGTTCGGGATGGGCTCCATGGACAAAGAGTCCTCTTTCCGCCTTCTAGACGCCTTCTTCGATGCCGGCGGAAACTTCATTGATACTGCGAATAACTAGTAAGTACAACTCGTTCCGATCGCACTGATTGGAAGTCTCGTTACTGATGTGCTCGTGTAGCCAAGACGGCAGTTCTGAGGAGTTCATCGGTGAATGGGCTGAAAGGCGCGGTGTTCGTGATCAGCTTGTCATCGCTACTAAGGTGTGTGGCCTACCGCTGCTCCGTTTGTGCTACCTTGCTAATGCCCACATGTCTAGTTCACCCATAACTGGCACCGCGGGGATGACTCAATTGTACAAAAAGTCAACTTCATGGGCAACAACATCAAGTCTCTTACGCTCTCGGTGGAAGCTAGTCTCAAAAAGCTCCGCACGACCTACATCGACATCCTATACGTCCACCTGTGGGATAACGAGGCAGATGTCGAGGAGATCATGGATGGTCTTCATAACCTCGTTGTGTCCGGGAAAGTGCTTTACCTCGTACGTCCACTCTCGACACCTTTCTGCCCTAACATGCAGGAGCTCACTGGCATCTTGCGCTTTTCTCTTCAGGGTGTCTCGAACATGCCTGCATGGATGGTCGTCAAAGCCAACGAATACGCCCGTCACAACGGCAAGACACCGTTCGTCGTCTACCAGGCGCGTTGGTCTGTGCTCGATCGTGATATCGAGCGCGAGATCCTCTCCATGTGCCGTCATGAAGGTCTTGCCATCGCGCCCTTTGCTGTCCTCGCCGGCGGCCACATCCGCACCGATGAGGAGGAGGAACGCCGCCGTGAGTCTGGCGAGGGCGGTCGTACGTTACTTGGCCAGAAGTGGGAGCGTACCCCAACGGAGCGTGCTGTGTGCCAGGCTCTGGAGAAAGTCGCGAAGGAGGTCGGGGCACAGCACATCACCGCGGTCGCGATCGCCTACGTGATGCAGAAGGCGCCATACGTTTTTCCTATCATCGGCGGGAGGAAGATCGAACAGCTTCATGCGAACTTGGAGGCGCTGAGTATTCACTTGACCGACAAGCATATTAAGGCCATCGAGGCCGCTGCGCCACTCCCGCTGGGCTACCCCTGGACTGTTACGGTGAGACTCATACGGTGTCCAGACAGAGTGTCGAGGTTGTCGCTGACGTTGCTGCCGGTGATAGGGTGCGTACGGCACCCTGCCATGGTTCTACTCTTCACTTGCGAAAGTGGAACACCAGCCTATTCTGGCACCGCTGAAGCCTACTCGTAACAACTGAACCAAAGGCAATCTGATGGACGTCGAATGCACACCCATAAGATCCTCAAATACATTAGCTTTGTCCGAGATTTCGCTCCTGAAAATCTGCCATATTGATTGAGTTCTCCTGATGCTGCCCGTTACGCAGTGGCTATTCTTAGTTATCAAGCTTCCCTTCAGGTTGTGGAACTTACCAGTTGAAAACACGAGGTCGTTACTCATCCGCGCGCCGACTGGTGTCGTCTCTTACCATAGCACTATAGCACACTCGATGCTTGTAGTACTAGTTGCAGCAAAGAAGCCTGTGGTCGCATGCATTCTAGCCTGTCAAGTTGTCCGTTCGACGTGCACAAGCTTTGACGCTACTGTCAAATATGACATACATATATGACATTGCAGCTCAAGATGAGCTGAGAGAATATAGTCATAGGCCCTTGCGCCGGTGGCAAACGCGTACTCGGAGTCGTGAGTCCCCAAGAATAGATGGCAGCGCCACGAGGACCTCCGGAGCGCCCGCCAAGCAAGGATTGCCAGACTAATACTGTGCGCCTCCTTCTCCTCCGAGTGCAAAGCGCCCAACACTGCTGCAGACCGCTACCCAAGTAGCGATATCATAACAGCATATCGCAATGCCAAGGTACGCAGCTAGCCAACACTCGTAGGTATGAAAGCTAAGAATAGTCGGCAGCACCACAGGTCCTCCGAATGCCAAGATTACATCGACAGCTCTTCAAGTGCTCGGACCTGGGTCTGCGATTGATATAAGAGGGGGGTGTCTGAAGCACCAGTCGGCATAACATTACCTCTGCGACTCAGCCTTCTCAACTGAACTCATCGTTAATTCAAACAACCGACAATGTCTCTTTTCGCTCCTGTCAACCCAGAACCTCTCACTCGCTTGGGCTACTACCGCTACCTTGCTCCGCGTGCATCGATCCTCGTCTCCCCCCTTTGCCTTGGTGGCTTGAGCATCGGAGACAAATGGGCTGCCCACGGTATGGGCGCGATGGATAAGGAATCCTCCTTCCGTCTCCTCGATGCATACTTCGCCGCTGGTGGTAACTTCATCGACACTGCCAATTACTAGTAAGCACGATGGGTATATTGAGAATATACTGATACTCATCATATACTTCTGTGTACAGCCAAGATGGCAGCTCCGAGGAGTTCATCGGAGAGTGGGCCGAGTCGCGCGGCATCCGCGACCAACTGGTGATCGCTACGAAGGTTCGAAATTCTCCCCTATCGTCATAAGAGGCGAATTTCCTCGCTAACACCTATCACTCGCCTCTACCTCACTCAACCATAGTATTCCCAACACTGGGACGACGGCTCTGTTGAGAGGAAGGTCCGAGCCAACTATATGGGCAATAGCGTCAAGTCTCTCGCACTCTCGGTCGAGGCTAGCTTGAAAAAGCTTCGCACGACGTATATCGATATCTTCTATTGTCACAATTGGGATAATCACACTAGCGTCGAAGAAATAATGGACGCCCTTCACAACCTCGTTGTTTCCGGCAAGGTTCTCTATCTTGTATGTCTAATTTATCCGCCTACGTGATGGACGCAACAACTGACCGCCGCCTTGCACGTTTTTCATAGGGTGTCTCGAACATGCCCGCTTGGCTGGTCTTGAAGGCCAACGAGTACGCCCGCTACAATGGCAAGACGCCCTTCGTCATCTACCAAGTCAAATGGTCCGTCCTCGAGCGCGACACCGAGCGCGACATTCTGCCCATGTGCCGCCACGAAGGTATCGCGCTGGCGCCCTACGGCGTACTCGCCGCGGGACACATCCGCACCGACGAGGAGGAGGAGCGCCGTCTCCACTCCGGCGAGCTAGGTCGTCAAATCCTCCCGGGCCAGAAGTGGAAGCGCACACACGAGGAGCGCGCTGTGTGCCAGGTCCTAGAGCGCATCGCGAAGGAAGTGGGTGCGAAGAGTATTACAGCTGTCGCAATCGCGTATGTGATGCAGAAGGCTCCCTTCATCTTCCCGATTATTGGCGGACGCAAGGTCGAGCAGCTGGAGGCGAACGTAGAGGCGCTCAACATTCACTTGACGGAGGAGCATTTCAAGTTGATCGACGATGCTTCTCCGTTCCAACAGGGCTATCCCGTGAACGTGATCGTCAGTATACTCTCTATGACGTCCAGCAAGGATCGATAACTGACTTTTCACTCTGACGACAGGGCGAATATGGCCAAGTGCCGCGGCGCCATTTCATGTTTGCAAAGGTCGACACACAGCCTCTCTTAGCTGCCATTAAGCCTCCTCGCAAGAACTGAATGCGAAGTGATACACGAGTAGTCTGAGCTTTACACAGTGTATGTTTGGTCCCCCGATGTAATGTACAATATATCTCCGATCTGTCTTCAGAACCCCGGCCAGTCATATTGGAATACATCCAGCCTCTGCACGCCGCCACAGAACTCCCTCCCCTCCCCCGGAGGGAGTGGACAGGTCGAATTGCAGTCGGTTATTGGCGCGCTCACGACTCCGCCGGCGAACCCGAAGCTACACTGGCAGTCGCTTGCGTCTTCAACGCCTGCGAACGGGTATCCGACATGCTGACAGTAGTCGATACATTGGTCAACGAAGTCCAGATTCGATGCAAACGTCGTATGCACGACAGGCGGACCAAATGCAGGTGTAGTGGGCGTGTCTACGAAGCACCCTAGCCCCGTCCACGAGCCCGGAGCGAGAGCAGGTGACTTGTAGATCTGTCGAGCCATGACGCGTGGCGGGCGATATCAGTGAACGCCGCTCATCACGATGCGAGGATGACATGGTGTGTACCTGGATGCGGAAAGATCCCCCGCAGGATAGAGTCTCGTCTCCTGTGCAGGCCATATTGCAGTCGGTGGTTGGGGCAGCAGTCGGCGTGCCGACTAGGCCCGTGCCGCAATGGCATTCGTTGCTGAACTCGACGCCGGCGTATACGGAGTTGTCAGCATCGCAGCGCTCGATGCACGACGCAGGTGTGTTGTCGGTGTATTGGGTAGTGACATCGTCCGCGATTACTCGGGATGGGACGTCGACTGCGCATGCATATACGGTAGACCAATTGAGAGGGATTGTGGGAGGGTTGAACGTAGATGCGCGGGTAGCGAGAGGGAGTACCATGTTGAAATCGGGCTCTAGGAAGATCAAGGGTAGGGCTTTAGTCGTCTCGTCGTTCCGCCGGTTGACGAGCTTTTATGCAGGTGGGGAAGCAATGTGCATGGCTTCTGCGCGCTAGTGAACCAGGAACAGACAGAGAGAGGATAATAGACCAAGGCACCAAGGCAAGGTACGACCCGCCGTCTCTTAGAGTGCCTTGAATAGCGGGCAGAGTTGTGGTCAAGGGCGTAAGATGCATGCCTCAGGTGGCAGATGCACTATCCGCTAAAACGCTAGACAGGGACAGTCTGAAAGCCTGAAATCAACACTCTAGTCAGCACTCGAACGTGCATGGCTATAGAGAAAAAGCGATGACACCCACGTCCGTGATTGTCGTGGAAGGTATCTCAATGCATCTATATGGGCAAGTAGATCCGATGTCAGTGTTGCCGGAGGCAGTCCGCCCTCGCTGAGCAAAGATCTGTCATTGCGGTCATAGAGAGGGCCATAGCGCATGAATCAGAGAAGTGATGACGCTGCAATGTCGCATGCTCTTCTAGTTCGGAGTTCACCACAGAGTTCCCTACATGCACTCACGAAGGGCGAGCACGGGCCACAAATCAAAGCCATGCACTTGAGTTGTTACTGAATTCCAAGGAGACTGTGATCCAATTTGTCGAATAGTCCGTGCTTCCAGTGCCCGTGCCCTTAATGCACGGCGATCGGATGGACGTATTCTAGAGCTCTTCTGTCAATGAGGGGGAAGATGCGCGATTAGCAGACTATATGCCCCAAGGCAAGCACACCAAGGTCTCTGGATGTACGGATCTTCGGTCAAATATATATACACCCGTGCTCCCTCCACCTGCGCAGGGATAGAGCGTGATCAGGATATCGATATGCTAGTGAAAGTCTGCAGGGCAGAAGACGGGAAAGTCAGCCATAATATGTTCGGGTACTTGAATGAACTCACATCATGGGCCCGATACCCAGTGATCCTCACAATCAACGCCATCATCTTCATCCTCCTGATCCTCTTCGCCCCTATTCCGCTTTCCTTTCTGCTTACCCTTCTCATCCTTCCCTTTCTCTTTCTTCCCCTTGGCATCCTTCAACGCACTCGCTACCCTTACAGCATCCCGGATCTCCTCCCTCCAAGCGTCGAACTCGCTATCTTTGATCTCCCCCTCACCTGCCGCCGTATCCGCACCATCAACATGTCCGAGGCGCCCCGAGAGGCGGTTTAGCACTGACACCTCCGTGCGCCATACTCCCATTCCCTCCTTCGCAAGCCTATCCCTCGCCGCCCCAGAGGACGCAGGGACGTCGTATGCAGGCGTCTCCAGGATGAGCGGGATGTCGCGCGTGCGCGGGTCCGAGAGGACGTGCGCGAATGTCTGCAGGCCAAGATGTCCCCTGTAGCCGATCGATTGAAGTCAGCATCCATGTCGGGACGAGGCGGAAAATGAAGATGCGCATACAGGCCGATGTTCTCGTGCCGGTCTCTCTTGCTCCCTAGCGCGCCTTTGGAGTCGTTGATGTGCATGCCGCGGAGGAAGGACAGGCCGACTTCGCTGTCGAAGTCGTCCACTGGGATGGGTGTATGCGCGACTGAGACGAGTGTAAAAGCAAAGGCATCGTAATAGGCACGTACTAGTCGCGCTTCGGTAGATGGTCAGTCGTAGTATCATAGAGGAATATACTAGGAGACTTACTCCCATCCCTCTTTCGTCGTCATATCATATCCCTGCGCCGCATTAGTCTATGGAGTTTCCATGATGGATGGGATATACATACTGCCGCATACATGTGGCCTGCAGAAGGGGTTGAGTAAGTATAAGACTTCGACGACAAGTACGCATACAAGTATCCAGACAGACGCCGACTCGAGTCCTTTCTTCAACGTGTTTGATAATACCACCTAAGTCTGAGAATTGGCCTCCTATCACGTTGCCTGCACCAGCCTAAGTAATTGACAGTGAAGTAGGTGAGTGAATCAAGCTACATTCACACAATGGCGTACCATGTTCTCTAGTACGACAACAACGCGCTCTGTTTCCTTATGAGCGCGATTGATGCACTCGGCGATGAGGGCTTGAGATTCCTCTAGTGTAGCGACGCCGACCGTTGAGCCCGGGCTAGAAACCATCAGGACCCAGGCAGGCCAGCGAATGGAGCAGGCACGAACTCACTGGAAGTTATACAACAGCAACCCCAACTCTTCGCACCGTTTGAGGTCGTCCAGAAAACACTCGTAAGACTTGTCCCTCTTTTCTCTGTAGACATTCCCATTAGGGATGTATTCCGCGGCGCAGAAGGCGGGCACGACTGACACCTCAACAGACTCACTTGTCTGGGTTGCCAAGGTTCACGAGGTAGCTCCCGTGAGGCAGGATATGGGACGGAGAGTATCCGAATGCCTTCATGCGCGTCTTGAACTTCGCAATAGATTCCTCCTTGAGGGGGTTTGACTGCCATTTCCTCTGGGACTTGAGAAAGATCGCGAACGCGTTCGCACTGCGTATGTATGAGATACATGTGCGTGGTGTTTGGGATGAATCAGCCGAACGTACCCAACCGCGGCAGCGTTAATGATGCTATTCTCTATTCCACCTGCCGAAGAGACATGCGGGCCTATCTTCCAGGGATTCACTGCCCTTGGCATGAAGTCTTCGGGCTTGAGTTCTGACGGCGGGCCCTTCTTTCTCCCTGCACGCTTCTTCGTCTTTGGTTCAACTTCGTCATTTTGTTCGGGTTCCAATTCTTGTCGTGCTCCAAGCTTAGCGCGTTTCGCAGGTCGGGTATTTTCATCGGAGTCGGAAGATAGAGAACTCAAGGAGGAGGTAGCGCGAGTATGAGAGCTAGCAACGGTGGTCATGACGCGAGTTACTTGCGATGTTGCCGCAGAAGTAACAGTGGAGGTGGCGACCCTCGTGCTCCTCCTGAGAGCCATGCATGCAAACTAGTCGATGTGAAGAGCTGACACTAGTCTCTGCAAGAGCGTGAGGCCGTCGTCGGTGGGCAAGGCGTGACAAGCGCGTCTGTCACCCACATCGAGTCTGAACTTCAATGCGGCTTGAGAACTTATTGTTATGCTTTAGCCGAGGATTCCATAGCATCCCGCCCGAGGGAGGTATTACGACTCAACAAACCTATCCTCCTCTGTCACCAAAGGCTGACATAATCCCCAGACACCCAACAGGACAAACCAAGTACCTGTCCTCTACGGCCACAGTCATCTCAATTGATGCATTTGCACCCTCGTTTCGAAGCTTTTCCAGAGGAACTGATGTTCGTATGACAATCAAAGTCTACTGGTGTGACTCGCTACGCGGGCGAGCAGAGACTCGCACACATCCGAACGATATCAGTATGGACATATCGCCCGAGCTCGTGCCACAAACCCCAGACTCGTGGAACAACTCGGTATGCCGCGCCCTTTTTCCTCGCGGGATGTCCTGGCGCACTTTGCTTGAAGTTGGTGAGTGCATACTTCCCTGCATCATAGCAAGCAGGCACCAGCTGATGACGAGGAAGAGATTCCCGCCAAGGGAGAACGTGTCCGGGGTTGTCGCCGCGATCAAGGCCAGAAGAGGCCAAGACATCATGAACGAGCGATATTGACTGATACCAGATTCGAAATTTCGAAGCACCGTCACTGGCGACTCCGAACCCCTGGAGCGGTGAGGAGCCGTTGTCGCTGCGGTCCCAGGTTCCTTTGTTCAAATCGGTCCAAACAAACCCTATTGATCGTTGAAGAAGCGCAGTGGGGTCCATAAGAGCTAGAACACCTTCACTCCTGGTATGGATACAAGGGGAGTCAGGCGAAATCGGTCCGCCTCCCTACTTTCACAGCATCGAAACATAGATCGCAGTCGACCGTCTCGGGCTATCTCCGAGGGACGTCCTGGTACTCGAACCCTCGCTTCTTTAAATCTTCGCGCCCCAACATCGTCTCTTGTGACTCACGATGACGAGGACGCACTTCAACGCAACCGACCTCGCAAGATGGGGAAGCGTCAGATAAGCGTTGGGTCACGCGGGGGCGTCGAATGCTCGCCAGACCAGCACAAGGGAATCAGGGACGTCGGAAGTGTGCAGCATAACGTCGTATAGGAAAGCTATGGTACAAATGCGAGCGTACAGACATGGCTGGAACATATGAACGGTTGAGCAAGATCATGGTGCCTCGTTGAGGGATAACGAGGACATACCAGTACATTCACCAAGGTTCGGAAGTCCAAGTACAGACTCGCTCAGTCCTTCTTGGAGAGCTTGGCGCCCTTGCCAAATCCAAGTCCAAGCAGGAACGACGTTCTCATCGACGCGCCCGCATATACGAACCCGACACTCCCCCATTCCATCGCGTTCCACGCCCAGAATCTCAGAAAGACCTCTGCCCACCCCTTCTCCTGCGCCAACGGGATCATCGTCGCGAGGTGCCCAAAGTCCGCTGTAAGCAGCCCAAAGAGCAGTGCCCGCCATGTGCGGACCGACGAGGTCGACTTCAGGACGAAGTGCTCGTTGAGTGCGAAGAGCAGGTAGAGGTTGGAGAGCTGATAGAGCGAGATAAGCGTCGCGGTGTGCGGGGTCGCTATGCGGGTAAGCGCTGCGGCGGTGGGAGAGGACGTGAGGTAGGCCAGGTACTGCGCGGGGAGCCCGCCAGCATAGATGGCCCCTACGATCGCGGAGAGGGGCTCGATGTACAGGAAGAATAGTCGGTAAGCGAGGGGGATCACGCTCAGATCTACGGAGGATGACATCGCAGGTTTGGAAGGTGCCGGGGCTGGGAGTACTTGGTTGCGGACGCGTTCGCGGAGGTGTGCGTACTCGGAATGCACCCGTCTTCTCAGCACGTGACGTCCGCGGCGGCTGCATTCCGGCGACGTCCGCAGAAAGCGAAAGGCCTCTTGGCAAGTCAATTAGATTGTTTGAGCAACGATCCTGCCGACATCAGCATCAGCACGTACGTAAGTACCGCTGCAGTCTCATCTGTACACATACATAATTCACTAATAGCAGAGCAGGCCTGGCGTGTTCGGCTGTTCGACGCGTCGTAAATTGACTGATGATCATGGCCGCGTCGGTCTTCACGTAACGCTTTTGGCGGGCCATCGGGCAGTCTTTTCAGGCTGTGGGAAGGGACGAGACGAACAAGTGACAACCGGGGAACACACCCGCACGCGGACCGGTTCAGTGCCAGGAAAAATGTCGCAAGACGCATAGCCTTCGCTCCCCAGCTGACGTCCCTGTCGGACTCGCAGAACGGCTACATACGCCGCGGCAGAGGCCCGAAGTCGAAAAGAGCTAGACCCCCTTTCCCCCGCAGCCAGGTACCATGGCGGCCGAACGCAATAGGCTGAAACGCCACCGATTGCGGCCCCGACAATCCTGGCAGGCACGCTACTAGCTGTGCCGTCGCCCTTGCCGTGCTTGGGCATCATCCGAGTCGAAAGCACCATCTAGGCAATTACGTAGTGCGCAAAGGTGCCGCAAGATGTGACCGTGAATTGTGGTGGAGTACAGTACTATAGACACAGGTCACACGACTACGCCACGCCGCCCGGCCTGCGGGCACATTCCTGGGAAGATGTGTAAGTCAATGGTTCTCTGAGCGTACAATAATATTACTGCAAGAGCGATTGTAAGGTCTAAGAGGATGGCTGGCCCATGAGCGTACGTGCAATCGCGTCTAAGCTGTGGATGGAGTGGGTTGTACAAGGACTGGGCGGATGAGGATGAGAAAATAATGTACATTGTAAGGAGGGACGTCGATGCGATTTTGGATGTGGTCAATTGTACAGTACACTTGATACCCTCAGCGAAGGATTTATGACGACAGCAGAGCATAGCACGTCAGCCAGGTACACGGGAAGATAAGAGAAAGCGTAGCTCACCAACACAGCGTATGCAAATCACAGCTTCACCGCAGCTTGCGGAGCTGGGAGATGATCTCCCCGAAGTCGTCTTCAGTCCACCGTTTGCCCCTGCGCTCGCGGATCCACTTGCGGCTGAACCGCCGCTTCGTGCGCGCAACCGCCTCCCTTGTGACGACCTCGACTTTGACATCTACTTGGGCCTGGAGATGCGACGAGTTCCGCCTCTCGTGCTCGTGCTCGGGGACTTGCCATAACTTCGGTACGCTCCCAGAGTCCGACTCGTCGTCCCCGTCGGAGAAAAGCGCGAGCATCGCCGCGCGAGATGCGCTCCGCGTTGGGCACTCTTCCATGTCCGAGTCGTGCTCCAAGAGCAGTACAACGTCCCGCTCGTCGTCCGAGTCTGTGTATGCAGGAGAGAGTTCTTGTGCGCAAACGCGCGAACGAGACGGCCCCGAGGTGAGTTCACTAGCGCCTGATTTATGGTCGGGAGGCTCGGTAGGAGATCGCGCCTCCTGAAAACCGGAATCCTTCATGCGACGTGCGAGTTCTTGCTCGCGGCGCATCCTGACCTCGCGTGAACCGGGTATGCTGAACACGATGGGTGACAGCGGCGACACGGGTTGCTCCGAGGGAGATCCCATAGGGATTTCCAGCCGTATCGACGGACGTTCCGGGGTGGCGGATTGAGGAACAGGGGCAGATGTAGGAGCTTCTGGTGGAGGAATAGGCAGAGCAGGAGGGGGACATGTCGAATACTGGGCTGGAGGAGTACGAGCACTGGTAGGTGGTGTCGGAAGGGGGGTCGAGCGGAAGGCATGCTCTGATTGCCTACGTTGAAGTGGTGGCTCCGGAAGCGGGCGAGGAGGAAGTGGAGAACGCATTTGAAGAGGGGTCGCGGGAGGGGTTGGTAGAGGACGCACGCGAGTCATGGCAGGTGAGGTCGGCGAAGAATAGCATGGCACAGGAGAGAGCTGCATTGATGAATAGGAATACAACGAGCTGGCACTTGGTGGGTAGGCAAAGAAGCTCGAATTTGATGATGATGAAGAAGGACGCGAGGAGGCACGCGAGTGCATGCCAGACGTCACTTGGTGGAGAAATGTGACTGCGGTTGGACTTGCGGGATTCATCACGGGGGAGACATGGGCAGGTGTCGAGGCGCAAGCGGAGACCATGGAGAGAGTCAGGGGAATAACACAGAAATTGCTCAGACGGGGAAACTCTCGAGGGACGTCCGGGAGGGAGGAGATGAGGGAGTAGAAAGGACGATGGATTGACAGACGGCGATGGACGGTTGTGGATTTATTGAAGGCGTCATGTTTGGTCGTGAAGGATTATTCATACTTAGTGACGGCTTCTGGCTGGGAGAGCCCCGTCACGTCGCGATTGCCTGTGCCAACTGCTTTCGCGCGTTGATGGCCGTGTCGCGCCTCTTTTGGCTTCCGTCCACTTCGGTACCTTTCCCTCGGCCAGATCCAGATCCAGATCCAGATCGTCCGCTCCCCGCTCCCATCACTCCCCTTATTACCTTTCGGCCCGCGGATCTTCTACTTTAGGCCCGCGCCCCCGCTCCCCGGCCACTGGCGGAGACTAACTAGCACGTCAGCCAAACCACTCATCCTTGCCGTCTCCATCTTCCTCTCACAGCGGTCTGCAAAGCTCTCACGTACAATCTGCAGCTGCATCTTCGAGTTTCGCGATCTTCGTATACCTGACGGACAATGAAACATACAAGCGTCGCAGCGACTGGGATCACTACCAATAGGCCTCTGTGGCCGTTGGGGGCTCTAACCCAAAATTCAGACAAGGCTTGTGGGCTGCGGTTTATCGACACCATCGTCACAAGTACCCTGTCCTCGACGTATCCGGGCCTTCGTCTTCCGTACGCTGCACCACCTCAATAGTCCCTACGAGCTCTTGGCTTCAAGTACAGTACTTTTCGCTTTCTCCCACAGTCTGAGTGACTTTCATGACCGCACTCGCCATGTTCCCATGCGTCTGCGAGGCGAGGTCTTCCACGCGCTTGCAATGTTGTGATCTCCCACGTGCCGTCCATTCTTCCCTTTCAGGCGCTGTCCTTGTACATGCCCTCGTTCGAGTCCGTGGTCATCGTACAAGACATGCTGTGTTTTAACCTTCGGACGGCATATCGAGGATTTGTCTTTGAGCTTGATGCCCGGTCCCCAACCACGACTCTTTTGTCTAGACTGGTCCCGTTTCCGAGTCGGCTACAGCCCTTTGACCTCGAACGAGTCGTCGGCTATGGCAGTTTCAACTTCCAAGCGTGGCAGCCGATGATGCCTCTTCACAGGCTGCAACTCTCTGACAACGGTGCATCGCAGCAAGAGACGATAGCCGTTGACAATACACGCGTTTCCAGGCAAGTCGGCGTGATTTACTTCATTTTCACGGACCACGGTCCTCTGCTTGACTAGATGTGTGTCTAGTCTAATTCCGAATGGCATTGCAAGCTGTATTGGCATTTCCTTAGCAGTGGTGTTCTGGACGTTTCTTCTACCCCTATCGTTCGTACTTGCCGCTGCTCGCATTCCGACTCTGGCTCCGATGATTCGCTGCGAGGTATTCTCGGGACGACAATGCAGGCCGTTCTGATGTTCCAGCAGTATTGGCAGGTCGAATGAGCGCTCGCATTGTTGGGCAATCGTTTGTATGGTGGCCCGTCAACGTGAGTGTGGCGCTATGCGTCCCGCTGCTTTCTCAAGCTATTATCGCACTCGTGCAAACGTGGTAGGCATGAGGGAGGTACTGTACGTACGTTGCATCTTTGGCTGCTCGACCCGTCACGCCCCAACACTATCCTGCAGCGTGTACGGGGTTCCGAATTAGCTAATTTCAATGTACGCTACTTACATTGCTTTGCGAGATTTTGCACGCGCATACACTGAACATGCGGAACCTTGGAAGCGCTCGCGTTCCAGCGGTAGCACCAGATTCACCGGACACGTACTCAAATCATATAGTGCATTGACGCTGTTCGATGACGGCGTACACGTTGCGACCCTCTGGCCTCCCCGTTTCGTATCCAGACAGCCATGATGATGCCCGATACCCCATCAAACACTGGGTCTCTCACTGTGGTCGGAAATAGGACGACGCTCAGTCCCCGTTCTGTAATGAGCATCTCCTCACGATCCTTTTTCTTCCTCATATGCCGTCGTTTGCAGCTATGTTGCCGGGCTTCCGATTGGACTTTGCATTCGCGCTCACAGCTTGGCTGTAAAAGGAGGCTTCGCGGGCGGCGCAGACGCCGAGGGGGGCGTGGGGACGAAGCCCCGAGGCATGAGCGCCCCGGGTGGTGGGGCGACTCTCGCGCGGAACTCGTTTGCCATGTCGATCATAGGCACCCAGCGCACGTCGGCGTGCGTGTTGACCCACTCGATGAAGCGTTCCTAGAAGGGGCAAACGTGGTGAGAAGATGTGTCGATGACGGAGATGGAGATGCAAACGCATTGCGCGAAATAGCGCAGGAGCTTGATGGATGATTTCGTACAAACGGCAGGAATGCATTTTGGGGGTCGGAGAAGCGTCCAGCGCCAGGCATTCAGCCTCAAGATAGGAGCCTCGCACAGAGATGAGGAACATCAGGAGAAAGCATCTTAACTCACAAGCATCAACAGCACATGAGGACGACTAATCAAATACCCTTATGAGCGTTCCTGCCAAAGTTGGACATACCAGAGGAACGCGACTCACCCACTGACATCGGGGTGGATCGTGATGGGAAAGATGAAATTCTCTTCCTCCCTGTTCAGCGCAATCGGCACGCAGTAAGTACTAGGTGTCGACACTCGGTGCTACAAAAGGGGAGCGAACAGCTGCTGTTCGCTCAATGGAGACACCGCGTATCGGCAACTGACCTGTACAGGTACGTGAACATATCCTTCCAAAGTTGCTCCACATCCCGAGAGTTCACCTGCGGGGCTTCTGTCAGTTGCGCACCCCATTCATCAAATGTTTACACAGGACTCGCCCATCCGTGAGAGTTAGGACTAGATTTGATAAACCTGATATGCAATAGTATCAGCTTGGTGCACAGGAAGGCGAGAGACGATACCCCGTACATCATAGGAGGGAGGTCATCGAGGTACCAGTTCCCGGGAATTTCCACAAGCCCCGTTTGCTTCCCACGAACGAGAGGCTTCATCCAAGTCTCTGCCTTCGCCTTATAATCGATCTTCGTCCAGAGATCTTGATCACGTAGGTAGTAAGCCTGTGAACTGTGGCGTTGCTTTGTTAGAGTATGTTGTAGATGAATGTAGCAGTGCATGTTGCCTACTCGTGCGCCATGTTGGAGTGATCTGTGTAGGGGATTGAACGGAATGCGTCAGCGAGTACACAATTCTCGAACCCTTTCTGCATACCGTATTCAATGCCCTTGTCTAGCAAAAGAAAGCTACCGTCCTTGCTTGTCTCCCACCAAGGGGCTACGCTCCCTTTCGGAGGAATGCCGTTGTTGAATTTTGTAAGTAAGTCGTAGGTGTGGTTTAGTATGTCGCGCTGCTGCTCTATCGTCATCGCAACAGGATTCTCATGTGAATAACCGTGCAGGCCACTGGGAATGCGCAGTCACATTCAGCATGTGGCCCTGATGTGAAGATCGCGGGACATTCATACATTTCATGACCAGCGTCTCGGACAGCAGCCATCTGCTCAGGGAATGTCTCAAGACTATGACCTGGTATAAAAGATTTAAGTCGCGATACCTGTAACAGATTTCATCGTCCGCACCAGGAATGAACCAGGTGGTCTTGATATTGTACTTCGCAAAGAGTTTGAGAAGCCGGGGAGTGCCCACTTCTCCAGCGTACACACCCTGCGTGGCAATGCGATGGAGGGCACATATCAGCCGATAGCTTACAGAGCAATGCGAGATTGAGAGCTTGCCCTCGAGATGTCCAACGGTGAATCCTCTCCGCCGTATGAGCCGAGCCTGGCATTGGTATTGGTATTGAGACACGACGTCAAACATAGATAACCCACGGCGGTTGTTACTCACCATCCGGCAACGGCGTCAACATCGACACCGAATCCGATGAGGATTTTTCGTGGCATGTTTCAGTATAAGGGTGTGTTGAACTCGCAGTGCTGCCGATAGTAAGCGGAAGAGTAGCGATCCTGCGGGAGCGAGTAGGTTATTGAGATAGCACGTAGACGTAGACACGGGCCTCCGCCGGGACTTTGAGTAGACCGATAAGGCTGCTTCTTCTGAACTACGTCATTACTACCCCGCGAGGCTGAGCTGATAAGGCTGGCAGCGATACAGTATTGCCGTCCGTGGCATCTCGGAGGAAGCATAGTACTACCACTTATCGGCACCACACGCGCGCTTGTTTTGGGACAGTCACAGTTTCCTCATGGTGCTGGATATCGTGGTACTTTATCAGAGACAAGACATAGGCGATCACAGTGAAAGTGCTTGAAAAAGTGGACAGTCATGACAGCGCGAGAATCACTTGGTTGAAGACGACACCAGTTGGGAGCGACTCGCGTGCTAATTGAATCGGGTCACCGGATTGGCCTCATAGGCGCCTATTCCGGAGTGTCTTGTACTCGCACAACCATGTACGGGATCAGTGATTTGCTCCTTCACAGACAGATACGGTGCCACTGCTCTTTCTGTTATAGACTTGTAAGACCTCTTCAAGTCTTCCGCCCCCCACTGTTGTCGCACGCATCGGGAGCTATGAATTGAGTGGTACAAGTACTGATAAGAGGCTTCGAAACATCCTCACGCTCGGCGGTTGCCCCAACGTGATAGTCAGAGCATGTCGTAAGTCCCATGTTGCTTTGATGCCGTTTTTGAACATATCTTCTCATGCTATCCTTCAAACCAGATATCCAGACCCTTTCAGCGTCCTGTTCCCAACTACGCGGCGCCTTGGAGTGGGATGGCCGTTCGCCTTGGCTGATGAAATATTGGCTGTGGAAAACCGTGGCTGTCAGATGGCTGCGGAGAGACTGAGAGGGCGCTTCAGACGCCGCTCATGGCATAAGCAGACGACCTCCGACGTCTCCGCAGGGAAGCCCCCCCGTACGTCGTGAGTGCGACGACCTCCTTCCACAATTACTTCCTTCCTGGCAACATGTCAGAGGAGAAGCTATCCAACCCACCGGCACCTGCTGAGGAGCTGAAGGGCAGCCACCTCAGCATGGATAGCGAAGGTCTGACGGCTGTCAAGCACGCTGATGACGTACTCCTGGCGAAGCTTGGGTATCGAAGCGTCTTCAAGCGGGAGTTTTCTGTAAGTCAATTATCTTCTTAGAACGCATTACGGCAAACAGAGGTTTGACTGAAGACATGACTGTGCCGTACTTGCTCATCACATTGATAGTTGGTGGAGACGATCGCGTTCGCGTTCTCGATTATGGGCGTCGTCGCCTCGGTGTCGTCAACGATGTCCTTCCCACTTGTGTCCGGTATGTCTCGTTGTATAGCGCTTCATAGATGCGCGAGCGCTGCTCAGGCTCACCAATGTGATCGCTCTCTGTACAGGGGGGCACGTCGGGATGATTTTTGGATGGCTGATCCCATGCCTATTCGTTATGACGATAGCCGCGTCCTTAGCTGAGCTCACGTCTGCCATGCCGTACGTCCTGCCAGTAATAGCACAGTATAACTGGAGTTTGCTGACTCCACGCAATACGACGCTGCACAACACCAACATGCTGCTGCTGCCGGCTCTAACAATGCATATATTGCCGCAGGACGAGTGCAGGGCTGTATTATTTCTCAGCCAAGCTCGCCCCACCCCAGTGGGCGCCGTTGGCGAGCTGGATCACGGGTTGGGCGAACGTGACTGGCCAGGTCACTTTAGTCTGCTTCATTGACTTCACGTGGTAAGAGCATCGTTGAATCAGAGTGGCGAGGGCGTATAGCTAACGGTTCTACTCAGCGCCCAAATGATCACGACAGCGCTAAGCGTGGGCTCTGACGGCAAGATCAACCTAGGAGCTGGTCCTACTTTCGGTATCTTGCTTGCAATTCTGTTTACCCATGGGATTGTCTGTTCGGCGGCAACAGCGGTTATAGCTCGCTTGAACATCTTTTATGTCATAATCAACAGTAGGTTTGCCATGTCATCAGCAAAAGTGTAAAAATCTTTTGCCGTATTGCCCGTTCAGGCAATACTCAGCGAGAGCGCGCAATATACGTCAGATCATGCGCTGTCATGGGTGGTCTTGCAATGTCGTAAATATATTGCAAGACCTTGCAATATCCTACAAGACCAGGCAATATCGGCAATACCGGGCAATATTTCGCATTATTGCAGGTATTGCGAGGTATTGCCGGTATTGCGTGCTCTCGGAATACATTTCCGGTATTGCAAGACCATGCCACAAATGGCGCTTCAGGCAATGTCCGCAATCCTGTAGGATATTTTTACACTTTTGCTGATGGTGTTTGCACCACGTCTGCCCCTGTCATGAATTGACAATTTGGGTAGTTGGAACCACCATTGCGGCCATAATCGTTTTGCTTGTGTGCAGTGGCGATCAGAGGGTGTCAACAGAGACTGCGTTCACGATGTTTGAGAACAACACTGGATGGACAAATAGTAAGCTACGAGACCTCTTCAAATTCAAGCGGATATTGACTGCCATCAGGCGGTTGGGCATTCTTGCTTGCCTTCACATCACCGATGTGGACATTGACCGGCTGTACGTAGACATCCACGATTCTTGCGCCCTTACTCATCACCGGGTCCTGCATAACAGATGACTCTGCGGCCCACATCTCCGAAGAGACAGCAGGCGCAGCCCGCGCGGCCCCCATTGCGATTCTTGTCGGCGTCGGTGCAACAGCTTCGCTCGGCTGGCTCCTTTTCATTGCGGCATCCTTTGCAGCTGCTTCCGTCCCTCAACTCCTGGATACGGCTCTTCCACTTCCCATGGGGCAACTCTTCCTCGATGTCCTTGGCAAGCGTGGCATGCTCGCGATATGGAGTCTGATCATTGTCGTCCAGTACGTCACGGGGGCCGCGCAAGGGGTCGACGCTTCGCGAGTCGTTTTTGCGTTCGCGAGGGATAATGCGCTGCCCGGATCAAGGTGGTGGAAGAAGATCCATCCATACACTTCTACACCGGTCAATGCGGTCTGGCTTGTGATGGTGCTTGCAGGACTCTGTGGGTTGCTCGGCTTTTCGGAGACTGCGCTGTCATCTTTGGCAGGGTGGGTCCTATTCATTCTGCGGTCCTTCTCTCCGTGCTTTGAATGCTCATGGACTACGTGCAGATCATCGGTCATCGGACTCTATGTTTCCTATGTGACCCCGATCTTTCTGCGTATCACCTCTGGTCGCGATAAGCTACACAGGGGACCATTCTCACTGGGGAGATGGTACATGCCCATAGGGATCATTGCTGTGCTGTGGGTTTGCTTCATAACCGTTCTTTTAATGTTTCCGCCCGAGGCCCATCCCACTGCGCAAACAATGAGTATGTCAAGCCTTGTTTCGCTCCTAGCTGAGTCTCTTGACTTACCCATGGTATTCTCCTAGACTATGCTGTCGTTATCATCATGGCCGTAGTCATCTTTGCAAGTCTGTGGTGGATCGTCTCCGCGCGGAAGTGGTTCAAGGGGCCTGTTCGGACAGTTGAGGGGACGCGAACCCCAGATTTGTACGACAAGACAGGCGTACGGGTTGACGAAAAGGAAATTTCCTCTCATGAACCTTGATTGTCCGCTATGGCGAGTAATTTGTTTTGGAAATGCACGTGAATCTGGACATGACGACTCTTTTCGCAAATGGTCCTGAGCTGGAGACCCTAGCTCCTCATTGTTGGGATACTGGTGATGCGCCGATCAAAGACGTTTACGATAGACTCATCGGGATGGTGCCTTTGCGCTGCATATACTCACAGTGGCTGCATGGAAGATTGTCATACATATAGAAGATGCTTCGGGTGGCGTGCGATGAGCAAGCAACATGTCATTGTTGAGTTGAACCTCCGATCACTGTCGGGCCAAAAGTACTATGGGCGAAGCACGACGCTGATACGGTGTCAAGCGTACTCCATCAGATGACTCGGCTGACATGTGAGCACGGGTACCGTGCTGGCGACCGATTAGAATGCAGTCTCTTACCTGACGCCGACCGCACCTTGACCTCGTACGTTCTTGTCCATCCTCCCATTCGTTGTTCGTTCCGGCTGCTCCTCTCTGTGGGATACAACGCTCCATGCTGCCGGTCTCACGCGCCCCCTAAGCGCCAATGCTAATGCTGAGTCCATGGTGTCTCTCATTCGGCACAGTCGACGCAGTCGACCTCGTACAGTGCTGACTGTTTCGTCTCCTCTCCCTGAGATGGTGCCTCGTACAACAGAGAGCAAGCTATCCGCTATGGGGATTGGAACATCCTCTCCGTCGTAAAGCATCAGTACGGGCTAGACGTCTATCACGCGACGGAGTGGGTCGCGAGCTATCACAAAGAGATAGAGGCATGGATGCCCTCGACTCCTTGCCTTCGTTCGGCCCAGCAGTCGACACCGACTTGCAGAAGTGCACAAATTGTCTTGTTTACTGGCCGCGGGCTAACGACTGCTGGAGGTTTGAATCCGGGAGGGTCTTCGGGCAGAGGGGTCTCGAAGTTTAGAAGATACGTATGGTGTGGATGTTTGCAAAGCGCGTGATGAATCCCGAGATGCGAAGAACTAAGCTTGCGGTGGTAGAGACTACAACGAGGGTTGTGTCTCCATGGGCAAATAGCCCATGGAGACAAAACCCTCGTTGTAGGTCCCTCTGCGGTGCCACTGGTGGAGGAGCTAGCGCAGATCCCGTTTGTCGCTACTGTAAAGGTTTGATGGAATTTCGTTCGATGCCAAAGGCAATGACCAACCAGGCATTCCTGCATCTCATGGACCGATGCCTCTAGTTTCTTTGGTCTTGGTCAAGACAGTGAAGATATAAACCAGTCGTCTACAGATGGCAACTCACCTCGTGTTCACGAGATTGTAAATTTGGCCCCGTGTGCGTGATGCAGGGTTGGCAGAGAGTGCGCCAAGCGAGTAGCCCACAACGAGGCTCGCCGAACTGAGGGACACGCCCCTCAGGCCTCATAGGTCAGGTCTGCAAACCACCCTTCCACGTGGAGCGAGGCCCGGGGCTGGTACTCAGCTACAAGCGCGGGAAAGTGATGGGCAGTTGATACGGCCTTATGGACGCATATCCATCGAACGCTCGGGAGACAGCGGTTTGCAATCATACTCAACTCTTCTATGAACTTCATCGGACAGGACATTAGCGTCAATTTCTGTGTCTTCGACAATGTCAGTGTCCCTGAGTCCCACACAGCTCCTCCCAAGGAGTTGCCGCATTCAACCTCGTGCATCGCTGACTGTCATATCTCAAATAGATCGTTGCCTCATACAACAGAGAGCAAGCCACCTTGAAAATTAGAACACCCCGGTCGTGATGTACCAATCCGGATTGAACCCTTATCACGCGAGGGAGTGGGCCGCGAGCTGTCACAAAGAGAATAGAGGCACATAATATCGTTTACACGCTTGCCTGCCTGCCTTCCATGCTCAACTGACAGGAGTATATATGCGCATGCCTTGCTGAGAAGCGCGTACCCGGGAATATGGATGGACAGGGTCGAGGGACCACTGGTAGAGAGATGAGGCTCAAACAGATAAGACCGTCTGAATCTTGATTTGGCGACTGAGGATGGCGATGAATCAGGGTTTTATTTTAGAGGCGGTGAGCAATTCAGCGTTCTTGAAAAGCCGCAGATGAGTGCACTTATGTATGCAGGTGTCGACTAGAATCATGGGGTCGATGAACCCGATCTAAAAAAGACCCCAGCTGCCGTTGTGCTCGGCAGATATTATCCCGGGCACCCAAATAGCGGGAAAACTGGACGCCAGCATTCGTGAGTGCAATGAACCTTGCTCATGGCAAGTGACAGCAGCTGAGCAAGCGGACCGCCGATGAAGTTAGGAAGGTGGACTCAGCTATTATTGCCGGCGGATATTAGGTGCTTCAACTGCCAACGCAGAAGCCACCATGCCATACGGCGTTACTTCCATCTCCATGTTATGTACAATGAAGTGGCGTCGGCAAAACTCACGGGGGTTGGTGGTACCCCCAGGGTCGTAGCATTCTAGCAAACTCATCGGCGTTGTGAGTTACAAGTTACGTCAAACGAGTGGTGATACGCATACGGGAGCTCACATCGGATGCATCGGATGACTCGCTTGCTCTAAAATTGAAACATGGATCAAGCGCGGACAACGCTGATAAAGGTCTTCGAGATGAAAATGGGGCAGTATCTCCATACACATTCGATCCATTCCTCACGATTCCATCTAATAACTCTCCATGGCCTCAGATGAATTAGGGGTGACTGGCGTATCCCGTCCTACGGCTAACAGGATGTCGGACGTGGACCAAAGGTACATGAACCTCCCTGACACCCTGGCTGACTGGCCGTGGCCGCGACAGTTCAACCCCTATACCGAGGAGGCTACAATCGAGTCAAACATATGGTTCAAGTCTCTTGGGATATACTCCCCGGAGTCCCAGAAAGTATGGAATAAATGCCATTATGGACTGCTATGCGGCTTAGCCTATCCGGACGTCTCCAAAGGTGGAGTCACCTTTCGCGGACACAGAGCGTTTGACTGTGTGGACTTACCTACTTCCTCGTCATTAGATGATGTACGGGCAGGCATCGACTTGATGCAAGCCCTGTTCACTCTAGATGAGTTCACCGACGTCGCCCCGGCACCAATGGTCAGGGAAATTGCCACTGTGGTGATGGATGCACTGTGCAACCCCGACACACCTCGTCCTGCTGGAGAAATAATTCTAGGGGAGATGATGAGTCAGTGCGTCTATAATCATCAACCTAGGGTCTGTCCCACCATGAAACTGAGCATTGACGGCGGTATTTGTCGCAGATTCGCGGCTTGTGTCTTTCACACCGCAACTCCCGAGGCCAACAAGCACTTTCTGACGTCTATGGAAGTTCTGATGAACTCGTTCGTCGCGGAGGCAGAAGACCGGGATAACCACACTATCCGCTCGATCGAGAGCTACTTCGAGCTGCGAAGGGGTACCATCGGCATGGGCCCCTCGTATTTCATAGGCGAGTTGCATTTGTCCATCCCGGACGAGGCACTATACCATCCCGTCGTGCGTGAACTGGAGTACCTCGCTGCCGACATGATCGCCTTGGACAACGTACGTTCCAGCACCTCTCCGTGTCCGCCACGCAGGCGTCTGACCGTCGTTGCAGGACATCGCTTCATACAACAGAGAGCAAGGGACGGGAAACGACCAGCATAACATCATCACAGTCGTCATACACCATCTCGGCCTCAACCTCGACAGCGCCGTCGAGTGGGCGGCGGACTACCACAAGGACGCCCAGAGGCGCTTCTCCGATACCATGAAGCTCGTCCCCTCCTTCGGGCCCGCCGTCGACCGGGACTTGGATACGTATATACAGCGGATCGCCATGTGGGTTCGAGGTAACTACTGCTGGCTCTTCGAGGGCGGACGGTACTTCGGGAGCCGTGGTGCGGAGTACCAGAAGACGCGCAGGGTCCCACTCCTTCCCAAGCGGAAGCGCAACTCCGGCGAACCAACTGTGACGGTGGAAGTAGCTTCAATAGACGAGCTGGGGTGGGCTGCGGTAGGGTTGGATGGCTGAGACGTATGCAACAAGGTACCGGCAATGTTGAGAAGGTGAAGTAGTCGGTGATAGGCTCGCGTCCATACGAAAATGAATCGTCGTGCAGCATCACCGGAAACGATTCCCTTGTATCCAAAAGCGCCGGATTGCATATTGAGAAGTCCTATATTGCTTAGATACCTGCGCGAAAGTGTCACAAAACAACTGATTCAGATAGCAATGCAACAATAACAATGATAGCACGTTGGAGAACATACGCGAACACAAACGGTTCGATCTCGATCCCTCCCTGTCTGAAGCTGATGACAGACCTATGCTCAGCTCAGCCCCCAGACTCCAGCCTTCTTCACGCCCTCAACTAGTGCATCTACATTCCCCAGCATCGTCCCCAAAATCTCCTTCTTCTCCGCCATGGTCTTTGGCCCCCTGTGGCCTTCCGTACCCGCTCCGCTGCTTGTCGGTGTGCTCGCACACCTCGACGCCGCAAGTGGAGACAGGTCCGAAGCGGAAGGGGAAGAGAAGTCTGCTAGGCTCTGTGCACGTCGATGCGCCTGCACCTTAGACGATGCAGGCTTGGGCGTCTCGAGGATTTCGGTATGATTGGATTTGAGCTTATCGCGACGCGTGCCTGGGGTGGTTGGGGGTTGCCCTGTGCGAAGAGAAGCAGACTCGACGGAGGAGATGGACGAAATAGACGAGATGGAGGAGACTGAGATCCCGCGTGAGTGCGAGTGCGAGGCGCGCGAAGCGTGTGGAGTGTTCGGGCTTGTCCATCGAGTGGCCGCGAGGCTGCTCCCGCCTAGGTCATTACCACGGGTGTCCTCAGCGGGTTGCACCTCGCTTGAGAGACGCAGTTTGGAGTGACTTGGGCCGCGCTCGGGCTTCGGGCGCAGCCCGCTTGGTCCGCGGCCGAGATGCGATAATTGGGGCTTCTTTGGGCTGAGCGGAACATAATCTACCTCGTTCTTTAGCATAAGCAACTTGGAACGTGACTGCACACGGCCGAGCGCGCTTGCGCTGCTACCGCCGGATGGAGGGGTTATGTTGCGTGTTGAGGGCGTGAGTCCGGGAATGACGGACTTCGGCTTCAAGGCTGGCTTCGCAGGTGTATCAACGTGCGTATGAGGCTTGGGCGATATCGAGGCATCGAGCAACGACGCGGAGGTTGCTGTTGTAGAGGTAGAAAGGACGGAAAACGCTGAGGAGCCTGAAGAGGATCTCGATGAAGGAGCGGTTGAGTATCCTGCTGAGTACGCTGCCGTGAGGGAGGAGTTAGAGCGATCCGAGATTGTCGATCGTGCGGTGGGCGTTTCGGAAATTGACATGTCAGATACGACAGCGTCGGGGGCAAGTTCTGGAGGAGTGGTCTCGTCCAACAGGTAGAAGTAGAGGAATTCAAGGCACTTCATCCTTGAGAAGAGTCAGTCTCATCACGAGAAACAGATCATATCGGCAGGTGCCAACCTGACTTCTCTTGGGGTACCTGCCCGCTTCAAGATCCTGACGACAACCTGAACCCCATTTAAGTCCTCGAAGACGCGCAGGGCAGGGCTGGAGTCGACCAGAATGCACAGCAAGGTATCAAGTATAACAGAGGCAAGAGGCGCATCAGACGACTTCGGCGGTGAGGCAGAAGATACGCCAGCTATCGGTGATGTCGGCATGCTGGAGGCAGTGGGGGTAGTCAAATGGCGTGACACGAGTAGAAGGTCTAACAAGACCTCTAAAGAGTATCTCCGGCCAAGAAATTGCTTGCTCGGTTTGTGTATCAAGGCAACACCTTGAATGATAGACATCCCTTGGGCCAATTGGGAGGAAAAGCTTATGACTTCGCATCTCCTGACATCTAAAAGTTCCGTCAGGTATTAGACATTTTCCCAATGATCGAGCGACTTACCATCAGTAGAACCCTTGTGCAGAGCTTTGTCAAGCAGACCGGAAGTAACTGACGTCCACGAGATAATCCGTGATGACACTAGAGTAGGGCATATGTGGCGCGCTCCCACCGAATAAGAGGAATACGTACCATTACATTGAAACGTATCCTGCAGCTCATTAAAGTATTCCAGTAGCCCCACAGCCCTCGGGTCAGACGTCTCGGCGAGTACATGTTCGATGGCCACCAGGGCGTCGCCCTTTGTTGCGGTAGACGTTCTGATGGATACTAACTATGTAAGGTAAGACGAGTGAGTGCGCCAGCATATGGTGCTTATTCACCTCGTCAAGAGCATCCTGAAGAATGACATGCATAGGCGCAGTAATTGGGTTAGAGTCGTCCACGTCTGGATCCATCGCGCGATTGTTGCCAGTCAAGAGGGTTCGGAGATGATGCGGCGGTTCAATCAATGCATGAGGTTAGAGATCAAGCTCAAGCTCAACAGCAAGTATGTGTCGCCGGAGAGGAAGGAAAGGAGGTCTCCGTCGTTGGGGTTCTTCAAGTTGCAGAGGAGGGATGTGGCGAGATCGTCGAACGCTGGTGCCAAAAGCGGGAATGGGTTGAACCGGAACCTGGAATTACATAAGCAAAACGGGTAGCGCGACCTGCGCGTTCCGTCAGGTGATCGCGGGACGCGCCGCATCGTCCGGGGCTCCGCGGTCACCCACGCTCCCAGTCCTTACTCCGGCCGCCCCACAATCATGGCTCTCATCTCCCAGCTCGCCCTCGTACCACCACCATGTCGCCGGTCAAGACGGTGAGCGATCCCTCTGTTTCAGGGGGCAATCCGCATTGACTGTATGCATAGCAATGGACTCGCCTCATCCGTTTCGTAGCGGCGGAAACCGCTCAGGTGCACATCGGTGAACCTGTGGATCCCAAGCTTGATGGTATGTTCCGTGGCCTCATTACAGCAACCGTTGAACTTGCTCAAGGTGTGGCTTGCAGTTGGTCTTGCCTTTCACCAGAAGAAGCCAATCAAGGCGTACGAAATTGCTGGTTCTGCGCTCGACCCCGCGGCTCAAGTCACGAAGAACATACTCACTGTCAAGCAGTTACTCGCACCGCTTTCCAGGGAAGAAGTTGGGCTTGTTCGTTGCCTGGGTCTTAACTACGCGGATCACGCTGTGGGTATATCCTCAATGTCCCTCGCGCTCACGGCTGACGTAGCCGCGGACTTGTAGGCTGAGGCGAACTTGGCCAAGCCGACGTACGTGATTCCTTTCTATTCTCATGTTCCCGTTCATCGAGGAACGCGGCACCGCGTGTCGAGGGCATATCACAATATCACATGCGTAACTGCTTCTGCCTCCGGTTGGACCTCCAGAGATGCAACTATGCGGGTTGGCCATATACTTGACGATGTCTCCCTGTCATCATCATTTATTCAGGCAATCCCATAGTAAATCACCAGGCCACTTAGCGCTTATGAAAACACCTCGCAGAAAGAAACTGGTCGGAAGTGCTGAAGACACCTTAGTCCGTTGTGTTCTGCATGTCTTCACACTTGTACCGCAGTGCTTTGCCGGTCGTGCACGCTGCACAAGAGTCGCTTCAGAGTTGCACAATTTACAGCTTACGTGTATATCCAGACTGCGTGAGCCGCACGCACACTGTTATCTAGTTCGGCCTCAACCGGCAGAGGGGGATCTATCCCTGACATAGCAGCAGTAGCTACATGAATTGAAACGTACGACTGCCACCGTATTCCGGAGGGCTGACATATATTTTCACAGCTATCCTGTGCTCTTTTACAAGCCGGTCAATGCTCTGATTGGTCCTGAAGTCCCAGTCACTATCCCGAAGCACGTTCAGCCCGTGGAGAAACACCTTCCGGATTACGAGGTTGAACTCACCGTTGTCATCGGTAAACCTGCCAAGAACGTGCCTGAGGCTGAGGCGCTCGACTATGTTATTGCATACACAGCTGGGAACGATGTTGGCATATTTTACCTTCCTGCACGCTCCGCACAACCTCATTGGTCCCAAATAGATCTCGTTCAGATATCACCAAATGGCCGTTTCGCAGTGGAATTTCTCAAAGGGATACGGTACTGCATTTCTTCTCATTTGTTCGCGCAAACTGCTCATCGCCCATACTTAGACAACACGACTCCCATCGGTCCCTGCCTCGTTGCCGCCCATGCATTCCCTGACCCTCAGAAGGTGCCCCTGAAGACGGTCGTGAATGGGAAGACAGTTCAGGACGGTACTACCGCGTAAGACACCATCCGCTCTCCCGTACACGCCCTTTTCTCATCAGGGGTCACCCCCGACCTTGCTCAGCGACCAAATCTTCAGCGTCCGCCAGACCATTGCCTTCCTCTCCCAGGGTACGACCCTCCTCCCTGGCTCCATTATCATGACCGGAACCCCGAAAGGCGTCGGTTTCGTGAAGAAGCCGCCTGTGTACCTCAAGGATGCCGATGACATGAGCGTATGGGTCGGGGGCGGCATCGGCACGCTCGTGAACCCGGTCGTCGAAGAGCGCGGGGACCAGAAAGCGAAGCTTTGAACTGTGGGTCCAACGCCCAAACACCAACCTCGTCCTTCATCCCCCCGACCGGGATTTGAAGCCGTTCTGCGTCAGGGGTGGGTACGCTCACTGTTACTGGATTTGGCTTGTAGCGGTGAGCCGCTTGTGCCTGTGCTGTGAATCGAAGTTTGCCGCTGAGTGACCATGTATATTCGTATGCTGTCTTGAAATATACTGAGCTTCTTCCTTGCCACGAGACAATCTGGCTTCTTGCTATAGCGCTAGGCTGATTGGCGGCCTTACACTCGTCGCTCGGGGGGCGTCCACGCCAAGTCCATGCATTGTGCATGAGCTCAATCATGTGCTCGTCTGAGTCGAACCCCAAACTTTACGCTAGTGGGCGTCGAAGGTGTAGCCACCTTCTATCTTGCTGCTGCAGCATATCGGTGAGTGTATTCCATCAAATCGCCTTACCCAAGCCAGTTCCTTCTGTCCAGCACAACATCGCCCGTACAGACAGCAGCGCTCTACTATTAGCCATGACGGCGCCACGATGATCGGAGTCGTGGGTGCAGCTGTGAGCTTGCACACCATACCACTGGGCTTGATGTGTGGCGCCTCGATGCACTCATGACCTTGTCCTGATTGCACAAAGTTGAGAGGCCATGGTGTGGTTAGAGCCTATACTGGTCGTAAAGTTCATCTCCACCTCAACTGTAGGCGAACGAATCAGCTATAAAGGCCTTCAAGCAAGTAGTTGTGGCCACACCAGCAAATCATGCTAAGATGAAGCCGTCTATCCTCTCACTCCTCTCGGTGTCTTCAGCATTGGTTTCTCCCTCGTCCAGCGCCCCAGAATGGCAGTTCAACCTCAAAGCTCAGTCGTCCGGCATCGTCGCCCTCGAGTCGGTGATCGTCAACCCCAACCTTGCGCTCTGGTTCGACCGTCCATCCAACGACCCTCTCCAGATCGACAACCACTCCGCATGGGGCGCTCTTTTCAATCTCCAGACGGCCGAGGTCACGGCCTTGAACGTCATCACCAACTCCTTCTGTGGTAGCGGTGCTTTCCTGAGCAACGGCACGATGGTAAGCATGGGATGCTTGCGTGCAGCGTACGTTCTATAGCTGATATCGAGTGTAGGTTAGCATTGGTGGAGACCAGATGGGATTTCCCGGGAACCCAATCATCAAGCCCGGGACTCAGGCAATCCGTCTCTTCGATCCATGCGCATCGCTCACGGGAGAGGGATGCACTCTCTTCGAGGATCCTAACCTCATTCTAATCGAGAAGCGGTGGTACCCCTCGACTGCGCGCATCTTCGACGGCAGTCTCATCATCGTCGGGGGTATGCACGAGGAGGCGGCTTTCTACAACATTGATCCGGCCAACAGCTTCGAGTTCTTCCCTCGTAAGGAGCAGACCGCCCGCCCGTCTGCTTTCCTGGAACGGAGTCTGCCTACGAACCTGTTCCCTCGGTGGGTGTTTGTTTCTGGACAATGATAATCACGTACCGATTCCATGGCTTGTGCTGTGCTGCCGCAGCATTCTCGCCTTGCCCGATGGCTCCGTCTTTATGGTGGCCAACAACCAGTCGATCATATATGACGTCGAGACCGACACGGAGACCATTCTCCCTGATAGCCCGAATGGCGTCCGCGTCTCCAACCCGACAGACGGCTCTGCCATCCTTCTACCCCTCTCCCCACCCGACTTCACTCCCGAGGTCCCAGTATGCGGGGGCTCAAACATGGATGACCGTACCCCCGAACAGAACCTTTCCAGCCAACACCCCGCAAGTTCCCAGTGCTACCGAATCACCCTCACACCCGAGGGTATTGCCAAGGGCTGGGAGATCGAGCACATGCTCACGAACCGCACCCTGCACGAGCTCGTTCACCTCCCCAACGGCCAGATCCTCATCGCGAACGGCGCGGCGACCGGCTTCGCCGGTATCGGGGGCGTCGCGGACCCTGTCGGGACGTCCGACTCGGATCACGCCGTGCTCGTGCCCGATCTCTACACGCCGTCCGCACACCAAGGGAGGCAGTTCAGCAACGACGGCATGCCAAGTTCAGGGATCGCGCGCGTGTACCACTCCAGCATCACCCTGACGCCGCAGGGCAACTTCCTCATCGCAGGGAGCAACCCGAACGGGGGGAGCAACTCCACTGGACCAGGCATCAAGTTCCCGAGAGAGTTCAGGGTGCAAACGCTCGACCCCCCGTTCAGGTTCGTTGAACGACCGAAGATTCTTAGCGCTCCCCAGAAGCTCGCATTCGGCAGCAGCGTCACTGTCCCGGTGTCTATCCCGGACTCTCTCGGTCATGACACTGCCAAGATCCAAGGTATGCGGCTCAGTCGTCTAGGTAGTGTTTCCGGATATAAGCCGCTGATGCACTGGATGCTTGACGATAGCATCGCTCATGGACCTTGGGTTCTCCACCCATGGCTTCCACACCGGTGCACGGCTTGTCTTCATGAACGCCACCATCTCAGAGGACAAGAAGTCGCTGACTTTTGCCACGCCTCCGCGTGGTCGGGTTTTCTCGCCTGGCCCTGCCACCGTCTTCTTGACTATGGACGACGTGTCCAATGAGGGTGCCTCGGTGATGATGGGTAGTGGGAACTCTCCTCCGACTCTGGAGTGAGTAGTTGGAAGCATCCCATCGGCATGTTCGGTTCGGCTGCGTCTGCTCAGTGTGATTATTATCGGAATATGTCGGAGACAAGTCTGTAGGAATTCCATGGCATTGTGTCTGGCTCGGCATTGAATGGTGGGAAGAAGTTATTCTCACCACTGGATCAATAGGCCTTATACTCTCCGGTCCGTCGTGTCGACGCTGTGCCGCAGCTTGCTTATGAGCCTCTTACTCACCCAGAGCGTCGGCATTATAATCAAAGGATGTTCTGTCTCGACTGCCTTCGCATCGGAGCGAGTAACGGAGAATCTGTTGCGCCAACCCGAATAAATTGCGGGTCCCACTTGTCCCCCACATGCGCTATAGGTAGTGCTGCGCATACCACGCCGCCTGACCGTGGGAGGATATGAACGCGAGCGTGGCCGAGGGCGAGGCACTTATGCTGAAAACGCCATGCACGTTCTCAACGAGCCACAGGGAAATGGTGTCTGCCTCCCGTCCCCAGGCCACGAAAGCACGCTGATGATAAATTCTCCCACTACAAGGATCAGCGGACGCACGCACAGGAGTACCGTCGGATTTATTTCCGATGGATTACAATATAAAAGCTTCGACCCATGTTCCCTGCTCTGTGGAGGGAGCGCATCCAACAACACGGGAAAACTTCTGCCTCCAGGATGAAGCGGTCACTCTTCTCTCTTGTCAGTCTCCTCATCGCCTACGCACTCACGGCTCCGTCTGCGCCAGCGGCTCCTAAGTGGGAGTTCAACCTCAAGAATGAGACGTCTGGCATCGTCGCACTGGAGGCGATAGTAGTGTCTCCTACATTGGTCGTCTTCTTCGATCGTGCTTCGGACGACCCGCTACAGATCAACAACCACTCGGCTTGGGGCGCGCTTTGGAACCTCGAGACGAGTACAGTGAGGCCTCTCGATGTCCTCACAAACTCGTTCTGCGCTAGCGGTGCGCTGCTCAGTAACGGCACCATGGTGAGTTAAGGAACTGTTTCGGGCAGGATGATTTGGTGACTAGAGTGTCGTAGGCTAGCGTGGGCGGTGACCCGCGCGGATTTGTTGGAAATCCAGCCATCCAGCCAGGAAACCAAGCCATCCGCATCTTTGAGCCGTGCGCATCACCGACTGGCGACGGCTGCACGCTCTTCGAGGACCCTGCGACGCTTCATCTGTTGGCCAAGCGGTGGTACCCATCCTCAATCCGTATCTTCGATGGTAGCCTCTTGATCATCGGAGGGACGCACGTCAACGCCGACTTCTATAACATTGATCCCGAGAACAGCTTCGAGTTCTTCCCACCGAAGGAGTCTATAGTACGTCCATCGGCGTTCCTGGAGAGGAGTCTTCCCGCGAACTTGTTCCCTCGGTGTGTACCGGCCTCTCACGTCCCTTGATGAGTCCGATCTAGCATATTTACATTGCATTAGTGCCTTCGCTTTGCCCGATGGCAAGGTATTCATGGTTGCCAACAACCAGTCGATCATCTATGATATTGAGGCGAACACAGAGACCATCCTCCCCGACATCCCAAACAACGTCCGCGTTACAAACCCCATTGACGGCTCTGCCATCCTTCTCCCTCTCTCGCCTCCTGACTATACACCTGAGGTGCTCGTATGCGGAGGAACTGCAACCGACCCTCTCGACCCTTCGCTTCTCTCTTCTCAAACTCCGGCCACCTCACAGTGCTCGCGTATCACCCTCACGTCCGAAGGAATCGCCAAGGGCTGGGAGGTCGAGCACATGCTCGAGGGTCGCACCATGCCAGAGCTTGTCCATATTCCCAACGGCCAAATCCTCATCACGAATGGTGCAGGGACCGGCTTCGCAGCACTCAATCAGGTTCCCGACGCCATTGGAAACTCTAACGCTGATCACCCTGTCTTCGTCCCTTCCATCTACACGCCCGATCTCCCGCTCGGACAACGCATTACCAACGCAGGCATGCCTAACAGCACCATCCCTCGGCTATACCACTCGAGTGTCACGCTCACGCCCCAAGGCAACTTCCTCATTGCTGGAAGCAACCCAAACGGCAACACGAATTTGACTGTGCCCTTCCCCTCAACGTTCAAAGTGCAAACCCTCGATCCGCCTTTCATGCAGCTCAACCGCCCGAAGATCTTGAGCGCGCCCAAGAACCTCAAGTTCAACAGCTCCGTAACTGTCCCCATCGACTTGCCCCAGGAACTGACCCGCCCTGGAGCGAAGGTGCAAGGTTCGTAGCCCTGACCTGAGTTTACGTTGTTACGCCGCTTACGCTTGAGCTACAGTTGCGCTCATGGACCTCGGTTTCTCCAGCCATGCGTTTCACTCCAGTGCCCGTCTCGTCTTTATGGACGCCAAGATATCTGCCGACAAGAAGTCACTCACCTTCATAACGCCGCCGAATGGCCGCGTTTACCCACCGGGACCTGCGAACATTTTCCTCACCATCAACGACGTCACGAGTGAGGGAGCGTGGGTTATGATGGGCAGCGGGAATTCACCCCCGACCTTGGAGTAGGGTTCTAGTGTTGATGTAGCTTTGACCCGCTGTGCTCGTGCTTCTTGGTGTCGTACTCCTTGATCAAAAACAGAATATATCTGTAGTTGACGCATTACGTTGGAACCATATACAACTGCACGCACCTGTGGTATCGTCCTTGGACCAGCGATCGACCCGACGTTTGCACGCACCGTGTGGGGGAAATGTAGATGTGATTATAGAGTACAAAAGTTACCAGACGTCCTATTATACAAGGCGTTATCCAACACGATACGACATTTCGAGATTAATACGTCAAGAAGTTCATCACAACCTTCCCCCACTCCATGCACAAGCATCCACGAAAAGGCCCGGGTCTACATATCACATACCATGATACCGTGTGGACTGGAACGCTAAGTTCTGCCTCATCTGTTGGTGCATGAGTTGGTCCATGACTGCCAACTCGTCTTGGTTGAAATCCAGCTGCATGCCGTGCGCCAACGCCGTCGCAGCGCTCTGCGGCGTCCTTGCAGGGGCGGTGGACGGCGCAGATTGCCTGAGCATTTCGGGGTCAAACGGTGGTGCGTCGACATCAGCAAACGTCGCGTCCGGTCCGACGCGGACGGCGGCGGACAGTTCGGGGATGTCGAACGCCATGTACGGCCTATTCGAGAGAGGCTGGCCGCCCATGATGCCAAGATCCATGCCAACGCCGATTCCGCCCCACTCCATCTCCACGTCCTCGGGAATCCGAGAGAGCTGCGAGAAGTCCAATTGAAATTGACCGTTGTTATACCCCGCGTTCGTCCCGACGGCGCCGGACGAGGATGCAGATGGTGGCTGCGGCTGCACGAGGCCCGGGAGGGGGAAGCCTTCCTGCGGATTCCAGTCGGGCGAGTACGAGTGCGCGGCGGCAGTGTTCCGACACTGGTTGAGGAGCGCGTCGAGACTGGAGATCGTAGTGGCAAGCGAGAAACAGTCTGCACCCTCAGCCGTGACGGCAGTCAGACCGCCCTCGCTGGACGGGGAATATGGGGGGTGCTCGCCATGTTCGCGATCCTGGCCAGGACCACTGGTGACGAGGTCTTTTGGCTCAAGCGTGCGCATGAGTAGCCGTGGACGGAGCTGATCGTGAAGGAGATTGGAGAGAATGCTCGCAACATGGTTCGCACACTCGAACGACTGGCCTGAAATAAGTAGGTAGCGGATACACTGCTCTGCTTGCGTGAGCGCGCTGCTGAGAGCGACGCGGCCAAGACGAGGGCCAGAGGTCGCTTGTACGGCGGAAAGGACGAATGCGGTGCCCGCACAGTAGGCAACTTGCATGAGGGTGATAGGGACATATCGCAAGGAATACTTCTCGTTCCATATGCCGAGGAGGAGCATGATGTTATCGCTTGCACGATTCCGGAGCTAGACGCTATGACGTGAGTCTCATGAAGTGCCAGTGTTGAGACGTGAATGCCCACCTTGACATGATCAATGTCCGGACCTGTGCTTCCTGACTTGGCTCTGCGGTAGAATGGTCGGTGCAGTAGCAGCAATAGCCACCAGTATGCAAGATGCAGCATAAGTCTGTGGGGCAACGCACTCGGACGACTGGCAGCAGTTAAGTCAACATCCGGCGGTAGAGAGTCCTTCCAATTGTTGAGCTGGATACTGAAGCATCACCATTAGTCATGAGCTCTCATGGCGTCCTCTCGTAAGAATACGTACTCCAACTCGCTGACCGTCTGGAGAGTGCTCTCCCGTTTTGAGCCAGGACCAAGACCGTTGCTGAGAAGCACGTTAATCGTCTGTGGAAACACGCCCGATATCCATAGCGATACCCACACAAAGTCAAAAATCCTCCTCGCGATGACCATCAGATCACAGGTCGCTTCAAAACACTTGACCACATTGCTCGGCTGTGGCGGCAACTTGCTGGGCGCCCAATACCATGGCGCAGTATCTACCTCGCTGCCCACGAACGGCACCGGGAACTGTGCGTCCTTCGGGTGCGGGGTCACGCAGCACTCGCGCCCGACGTACAGGGACCACAAGATGTCCTGGTTGAAGATCGTCCAGTACGACCAATTGCGGTCGAGCATGTCCTCCTGCGTGATCAACCCTTGCTTCACCCAAGGCGAACAGTCGATCTTCAAGCCCACTATGCAAACACGGAATAAATCGGCTCGGCTCGGAAACGAACGACCGATGTGGTAAATCTCTACGACTTACGAGATTGGCTCATGCGCCCGGCCATGCCTACACGACCAATTCAGCATGTCATGTGTTTTCGGCCGACACACTGCCCCAAAGCCGACTCACCGAAATACAAGTACCCCAGAGACTGCTCCCCGCATACCGAGTGGAAGAGGGCAAGCGTCCCGAGCGCGGTGACGAGCGCGATTGTGGGCTTCTGGCACTCGCCCTCGATGTACTTCTTCGCGCGCGTCGCGAATAGCCGCCGGCTGCGTATGTCCTTGAGCACAGGGTCGTCCGAGTAGGAGCACGCAAGCGCGAGAGCGGCATTGTGCAGCATAGGGCTGTAGTGCGCCGATCGGGGTGGCTGCGGGGTAGGTGGGACGCTGAGCGCGCGATGCATGTCGCGGAGGAAGAGCTCGGGGATGATGCGGAGGCCCCAACACATGTTGAACTTGCAGAGGATTTCGAGGAGGCGGTCATGTTCCTGGCGCGAGAGGGGAACTTCTGGGGGTAAATACCGCGACCAGTCGAAGTAGGTAGAGGAGGTAGAGGAGTTGGGGGGCTCGGGCGAGGTCGACTTCTTGGCGTCGCTAGCTGCAGGAGAGGCGCGTTGTGCACCTAGACGCCAGACGGAGGTCGGTCCGTGATATTCAAGGTCGGTGTCTTGAAGCTGTCAGCGGGTGTTAATGATATGCAAATAGGTCAAATGTGATAGGATGGGAATGTGGATTGTCATGGGGGCACTTCATAAACTACTCGTGATGCCAAGTGACATGGAAAGGTGTCAAAATGGGCGGAGAGACACTTCGAACTTCCCGCGCTCGGACATGCGACAGCTAGCCTCAACGTAGAAGCTCGAGCCAAGGTTTACGTTTGAGATTCTCCGGACCAGCTCGGTTGTGGTGAGATGCGACCGCAGTATGATACGCCACCGAGGCCCTTACACAGCGAGAGCGAGGGAAGGCGCGATCGATGGAATACGCCCCTGGCGTACCCAACGCAAGGCGCAATGGAGTACGACGTTTGACGGGTTCGAAGGGGGACGAGGGATGACTCAGTACAAAGCAGACTTACCACAAGATGCCGTGTGGGGCTTATGAGGTTTTCAATACCCGACTCCCCACTTGTGCTACCTCCACCCTCGTTGTCTGAGGACACCTCGGGCTCGGAAGAGTCTTGTCGCGGAACAATAGATGCTGCCGCAACCTCCAAGGAGTCGGATGGTGAATGAGCATTAGGAGGACCGCCATGTTGTTTCCGGCAGTACTCGAGGTCGGCCTGGAGGTCCTTCACCTTGGCCTCGAGTGCGCGAATGTAATTTTCGAGAGACTCAAAGTGCTGCTGCGTACGAGCCTTCTTGGCAGTCTCCTTTCCCCAGGTACACTATTCAGGTTGTAGAAAATTATTGTGTTTGCGAGGCAAGGTAATGTTGCAGCAACACGGAAAAGAAGCGAGGTGAGAGATCGCAGTACATGTGATGTAGTCGTCATATACGCACCTCTGAAGCTCGCCCCGCCTTCTCGCATGGACCACATACAGGAGCCCGCCCATCGCACTTGCTTTTCCTGAGAACATCGTGGCGTTGTCGGAGGAATCAGGGGCGTGGTTGCGAGGAAATAAGGTTGGACGCACCTTTTCCTACAATGGCTGCAGGCTTGTTTTGCGTATGTCCCTCGCCCTGATGGCACGACGGTATCAGACTTCGCACGTTGCTTAGCATCCTTCATGCTGCGTGTACATAGGCGACTAGGAGACGAAACAGGGAAATGCGGGGTAGACGGCAAAAGGACGGAAAGAGAGCTGAGACAAGGCCCGAGGCCACCAGAGCCTCCTCTCCCGGAGCGGCTTCTTGGCCGGAGATAAGATAAGATAAGACGACGATGGCCTCCAGGGCCTCGAAATCCGAAACGTTGATAGCGCTGTCGTTGCCCAATATTGCGACGAAGGCACTCAATCACCGGCAAAGGTCTTCGCCACCGAAGATGTTCGCAATCGTCTCTCCTTCTTCTTCATCCACCATCTGTGGCCGCCGAGGGCGACATGGCCGCCCTTCCACCCGCACGGACGCCGTCCTGGAACTCCGCCGACGAAGCCAAAGAGGTCATTGTCGATGGACTCGAGAAGGGTTCTCCTCCCGAATCGCTCCGTGACATCAAGACGTCGGTATGGACGCGTGTTTTTGTCGGCGACGCGAGCCAGGACAAGGAGACCAAAAGGGCCATGCAAAGTCGCCATATGATCATGATCGGTGAGCGCCTCTCATCCATCAATGCATGCGATGGGCGGGCTCAACCGCCTTCTGTGATTTAGCCATTGGCGGCACTATTGGCACCGGTATCTTCCTCAGCGCAGGCTCGGTGCGACCTCTGCCTTCTTCTCTACCAGGTCTTTCTTAGTTCTCTTTGCAGGCAGTAGCACTCGCAGGACCGGGTAGTGCACTCTTGTCATACTTTGTCGTCGGTGTTTTCTGCTATGGTGTTGTCATTTCTCTGTGAGTCACAAGCGAATGTTTCCTCAGTCACTATATTGAGACGCCACCGACGTAGTGGTGAGATGGCTTCGTACATCCCGGTGACTGGGTCTTTCGCAGTCTTCGGATCCCGTTTCGTCTCTCCTGCGCTTGGTTTTACTCTGGGTACGTCCATCATGAGAGTCATGTGCAGGACCTGGCCGGCAGTTGACTTTCTTTGAAGGATGGAACTATTGGTTACAATGGTCAGTACCCCCTTCCTCTTCTCAAAAATGTGACATTTGCCAACGCCAATGATATCATGCTTTGTAGGAGTTTGTCTATTCGTGAGCCTGCCGAACGCTTTGATATGATTTAGGCTAAAACCGACTCATCTCTATCAGCAAGCGAGCTGACGGCTGCAGCAGTCATTTTGCAGGTGTGTGAAGCCTAGTTGTTACTGTTGACATCTGTGTCTAACCTGTCGGTAGTATTGGGACTCGAACATAACTCCCTGGCAGTGGGCTCTCATCATCATCGCCCCGATATTCGTCATGCAGCTTATACATGTGCGAGTTTACGGTATGCACATATTCCCACCTTTTGATCTCGGTCACGAATTGACTATTGGTTTCAGGCGAGTCGGAGTACTGGTTCGCGATGATCAAGGTCGTCATGATCATTGTCTTCATCTTCGTCGGCCTCATCTACGACTGGGGAGGCGTCCGTGGTCACCCCGGACCTGTGCGTTATCCTCCCCCTGCCCTTTCGACCTCATGTCCTGCTCACATCTGTGACGTCCGTCTTGCTTCTTGCAGGGTCGCTCGAACTTCCAAAATGGCCAGGCGTTCATCGGAGGCTTCGGCAACTTCGCACAGACCTTCGTTTACGCGTTCTACTCTTACGGTGGCGTTGAACTGGTCACGCTCGCGGCCGGAGAGAGTGCGAGCCCGCACAAGACCGTCCCTCGTGCGGTCCGGGCGACGTTCTACCGCATCATCGTCTTCTACATTCTTACAATCCTCACCATCGGGTTGTGCATCAACAACGCAGATCCCACGCTCCTCACTGCTGCATACGGTACGCTTCGACTCCTCTGTGGAGCTTGGCGAGTTTTAAGGAATGGTGGCTGTCTCCCATAGATTCGAGTGTCGCCGCGTCCCCGCTCACGGTCGTATTCCAACGTGCCGGCTTTGGCGCGGCCGCGCATGTCGTCAACGCCGTTCTCCTCACTGCCGTGCTCTCCGCGACCAATTCGTGCTTCTACGCGAGCTCGCGCATGCTCCTCTCCCTCGCGCGCCAAGGCCACGCCCCGCGCATCTTCGGATGGGTAAATTCCCGTGGCGTCCCCGTCCCCGCACTCATGTGAGTTTCTTATACTTCTGTGATCCTGTCCTGTTCTGTGACATGCGCTCATGTTGACACCTCATTTGACGCCTCGTTTTAGGCTCTCACTCGCAGTGTCCTTCCTCACCTTCCTGACGACTATTTGGGGCGAAGGTGTTGTCTTCTCCTGGCTCGTCAACCTCACCGGCATCTCGTCTTTGCTCGTCTGGGGCACCATCGGTATCATTTCCCTCCGTTTTCGCGCAGCGTGGAAGGCGCAGGGTAGACCGATCGGGGACCTGCCGTACACGCAGCCTCTCTTCCCTATCCTGCCGTTGGTGGCGATCATCCTTGCGCTGGCGATGCTTATTGCCCAAGGGTACGCTGCGGTCGTTGAGACACCGTTTGACCCCAAGGTGCGTCATATCCGTATGATGACTGACGCTTCCGACCGAAGCTCGCTGAATACAAACACGGCAGAATATCGTCGCGACGTACATAGGCGTTGCGGTGTACGTCCTCTGCTACGTCGGCTGGTGGGCGTACGAGTTCTTCTGGCTCAAAAAGCGCCAGCACTTCGTCCCCCTCATGGATGTCGACCTCGACACGGACGCCGTCTGGGGGCCCGGAGAGGGCCTGCGTCTCCGCCAAGAGGAACAAGAGGCGCTCGAAAAGCGTGATGCGCAGGACATCGCGGACGGCAAACGATCCAGGGTGTGGGCCCGCCAGGCCGCGCGCTTCGTCATTTGAGAAGTCCCCAGTTGCACAAGGTATCTGATACGGTATCTAAGGTGATGGGTAACTTATTGGTTACTAGCATGTATCTCGCCAAGGGAGGTGTCACGATTAGGTGTAGCGTAGACTAAGTGTTGCGCCCGACTACGATCTAACGTGCAGTAGTGTAGCGGTATAACCATAAACATTCTTACCCAGAACTCCCACTATCTCCTTTCTGCTCCGTACTTGTCGCCGATGTCAGCCTTCGCAAGGTTCCGATCATCCTCAACCACGCTGTGATCGATGACGTTACAATCTTCCCCTTTGGCCCGACCCACTCAGTCAGCTCGCCCTCTGCTAACCCCTTCCGTAGCTCAGCAAGGTACTTGGTCGCAGTAGGACCCTTCACCCCGGTCAGGCGAACAATCTCTCCCAGAAGCTCCTTGTCGTTCTCGCAGTGGCCCCGAGCGACCAGGGCGTCGTACACTCCTACGAATGTCTGCCCACGCCCATTGGCAGTCAGGAGGTAGGGCGAGACGAAGAAGCGATATGGCTGAGCGATGAACTTAACGCGCGGGTGATTGAGCGCAGCTACAGAGGAAGAAGGGGACTTAGAGGCGGGCAGAAGGATAGAGGGGTGCGAGATGTCGAGGCCGATGCGTGGGGAGCGGAAGATGCGCAGCTTGCCGTCGACGACCGCGTCTTTATCGCTCTTGTGTGACCTGCGGTTGTTCTCCGTGGGGGTTGGCATTGGGGCGCGGACGAGATACATCGTCGAGATGCGTGTTGGTGTGGATGAGGTGGACAGCTGACCGGGATGTTCTGTTGGGTCAGAGTGGGGGAAGGCAGAGATATCGCCGTTCCAGTTGACGGTGACGAGCTCCGCGATCTCTTTCGCACCGCTCAGACGGAGAACTTCGTCGACGAGGAGGGACGGCCCTGAGATGACCTTCCCGTCGCTGACTCGTTTGACGGATCGCAGGAGGGCGCCGCCGCGGACGATATCGGCGCTCTTTTCCAACTTCGCTCCAGAGCTGGAAGCCTGAGTTTTGTGGGGGAAGTACTTCGAGGCGACAGCAGGCGGCGCGCGTCCGAGAGTGACGTCGACGCCTTTGCGTGTGCCGCCTCGGTACCCGGCGTGCGTTACGGTTGTTGCCATCGCAAGCTCGCCTGAGGCTCCCCGAGTGGGCGGCCTGTGGAAGTACCTTTGACGACATATTAGACGTCACGGGCACGCCCAAGGAAGCCTTTGGCCTGGGGAAAACTCACCATCGTCCGCGTTGGCTCTGTTCCGGACTGGCGTGAGTAAACGGGTCTTCGTGGCACCCAGTCTTCCAAAGGTAGAACTCAGCCTCCAAGATCTCCAAGTGCTCTGTGCCTACGGAGCTTTGGATTTCTACTCGATAATTATGAAGCAATTCGGAGGCTATCTGACTGAAGCGAGTTTCAATGGCAGCAGCCGATTGCAACTCACTGAGGTCGAGAAGCTCCAAGAGGTTGCCAAGGACAGAGTCAGAGTTCTCGTATTGGTTGTCTGCAGCGGTTGTAATCTCGTTGGCCGTCGGCTCCGTCGGGAGCGCAGCGCCAGCCGCATCCGTGTTCCATTGTGTTGCAAGGGGCTGCAGCAACAAAGCTGGCATGTCAAGTGCTCGTCCAATCTCGAAAGTAGCGAAGTCGCTTGCTAGTGCAACCCTGGGGTGCTTCGCTAGCGTCGGGACAAGCTCATCTGAGAGAGTCTGTGGAAGGCTCGGCTGAATGTCGTCCTCGCGACGTCGCTTGCTATAGGGAAAGGTCAGTTCCATCTCAAATACACTACGGGGCTTCTTGCTAACCTGGGTCGTGGCATTGGGGAAGACTGATGAAGCATGTCTCCCGGAAATTCCTCAGGCTGTGAGTTGAAGCTCGACCTGAATCGATCCAGGAACGAGAATGACATTCAGTCAGTACGTGAGACCCGCTGGAGCAAGTGGTGATAGACTTGGCAACCTTTTGCTTTACTCGTACAGAGCAAGAGATCGTTCGTATTTGGATTGTTTAAGTAAAAAATACGCGAGTGCAGGGTTCGGGTCGACTTGATGGATGGTGGCAGCCGCGACCGGGTCGACTACTAGGCGCCATAGAGTGCCCGAAGCAAATCCGGTAAGTGGGTTGCCAAAAGAAGGTATGCGCCCCTGCATTTCGTCCAAATGGCAGCCACCAACCTCAACCTCTAGATCGAGTCGACACCAAGCATACGATACATGACAAACAGCTAATTGTAACTGCAAAAAATTGATATGTGCCCGCTGTAGAATCAGGCAGCCTTGCCCAAACCGGCCCCGTCCCACTTCGCTAGCTCTTCCTCCATGATGAGCACCTCAACGACCGTCTCGGTGTTATTCCGTGTCTTGGCTGGTATGAGGGGCACTAGTCCTGTCTTCGCATAGTCCAACCCTCTATCACCGAAGTAACGTCCGCTAACGAATGACCAATCCCATACGGCCCGTCGCGTATTCCCAACATAGTCGAGATACTCTCGGAGTTGTGCATCCACCTGCGGACCGAATGACGGAACGGCCTCAAGCTGCGCATAGAACGTGTCCACGAGCACCTCGTTCCGCTGCTCCAGCCAGTCAATGGCACCGTCAAGGCTAAGGCCGAGGCTTCGCATGATGACAGTGACAATGTTGAAGGCACCAATGCCGTCCGCCTGTTCTCGGTTGTATGACGTGATATCCTGTAGAACATGTCTAAGGGGGGGGGGTTTCAGCAACGATCATAGGTGTCTGCGCTCACGTTGTCAATGATGGTGAGCTCACAACTTATACGCATGATATCGCTGACGACAGAGTCTAGGAAGACGTGCTGGGGAATGGAAAGGTGCAGCCCGCAGATCGCCTGTGTTGGAAGAACTCCGGCGTCCCTGATTCGTATGGTAACGTACTCGTCAATCGTCAAGGCTGCGGAACCATCATTCCGCCATTCCGCCACTTGAATGACAGATTCGCAGTACTGCGTGAAACAGTCGACAAAGCGAAGCGACCCCTCGGGGGTGGAGAGCCTCGAAGCACGTTCCCAAAACCTGGACAATGTAAGGACAGTATTCCTGAGAGGCTTGCGTCGATCACGTACTGTCGAACGATCTCCCCAAGGACGGTTTCCCCCTCCGGACGGGGTATGTGAGGGTTCCGTATGGCGTCAGTGCAAGATGTCATCATATCTCGAACTACGTGAGTCGATTGAACGTCGGTGTATTCGTCGATGATGAAGAAGACATTGACAATGTCAAGACATGTGCGGAGATGTTCTGCAAGGGAAACTGTTTAGCAACTGATAAAGAGGGCTGTACAACGAGCATTCACCTCTTCCTGCATCTGGCAGCAGTAGTCCAGCAAATAGTCCAAATGTGCAGAGGTCAAAAGCATGCTGTGATTTGGGGGTGAGTGGAGCGAACGAGCGGAACCAGGCGTTGCCTTCGGCGGAAACGTCTTCGTGCAAGGGATTGATCTTCCCTTTCCACCTCCACCGGGAGAGGAGGTTGGGGATACGAAGGTACATTGCAGGATACAAGATGGTCTGGAAGGAGGAGAATGGCAGCGTGGTCATGTAAATGTGGGAGAGATGTCTGCAGCGGCCTCAGTCGTCCTGTCGAGCGGTGTCGGATGCGACGTGCCTCCCGGAATCACCATATCTTCACTTTTGAATCCAAAGCGTTTTTCTGGGGTTGTGTCGTGGCGTGCTCAAAGTGTATTGAGCTTAGCAAACAAGGATTACAGTGGACATATGCATACCGTGGCTTCTGCGGCGTGCTCATCGTCCTCGTCGGGATCATTTGCTACTTTGAACGCCGACACAAGCAGTGTGGGACAGCGCTGAACTTGTGCAGCTGTCAGGTTTTGAAGGTTGGCAGGAGGCGCCATGTATGAGAGATCGTAATGAGACCCGGCTGGAGACGTCCCTTGCTGTTACTGTACAAATGCATGCCACCTCCATATATCTGCCAGTAATCAGCACCGGTGGAATGACTCAATTCAAGCATGGAAGCTGTCGCATCGGAAACTCGGAGCGCTGAGGCGGCTGAGCACTGAGAAGACAACATTGGCTCCGATGATTCGGAGATCGCGAATTCCATCTGAATGCGCCTGTGTCTCTTTCTGTAAGGAGGCCTGCCTGCCTTGACGTACTGAGGTTCTTTTCCCGTCCGATGCACCCCCAAGGGCCAAGGCAGTCCTCTGCCAATGGTACTTGGCATAGGAATCGAGGCCATATCCTACCGGCAAAAAAGAGCGGTGAGTGCGACGAGGCCGAAGGCCGGACAGGAGCAGGAAGGACTACGTGGGCCGATTGGTTCTTCTCTTCTCTCGCTGGAAACTTCATCCTCCTCGCACCGCCGAAGCTTTCCCTAAGATTGAGATGGACCTGAAACGCATACGGATAAGCAACCAAGGTGAAGCGATCTGCATTCCGTACATGCTTGTGGATTTGTTCGTTGAACGTGCGCGAGGGTCAATGTTGCTCATGCTGGCGCGTAAATTGACAATGCAACTCAACCAAAGCGCTTGCTACTAGTACTTATGACTCGGAGACTGTCTTCAAAAGCCCGGTCCGGCACAACGTCTGTCACGTGGCATTTCTCCTCCCAGTGTACGGCTCGGGGCGAGGCTGTCAGGACTTCTCTTCCCGCGGCTAAGCTGGCTTGAGCGCGACGATCTCGGTATCTGCCCACGCGTACCACATGGTTCAAGCAGGTAGCTGCTGACTGAACAAAGCTATAATCCAATAATAGGTGATGTTCTTCGTTCATAGCTTCATCGGGCAGCCGGAGACGAGGTGAATAAGGAACTTGTCGTATGTCCGCAAGGACGTGTTGGCTGCTGCCTCCGTCAATCAACTCTCTGTGGCCTGGGTATCGTTACTACAGTCAGGGACACCGTGGAAACTGGAAGCTATCATGTACGGTAGGAAGCTGCTCCTGACGCTTCCGTGTATCCATAGCGGCCGCCCGGTCACTTGTACAAGCTTCCAGACAAGTGGATGAAAATGGAGTAGCGGGTAGTCTCGGTACGTTGTCCTACGGACAGGTCACGACATGGGCTGCACTGACTCCGCCGGTACATATCAGGACACTTTGCACCAGCGTTGGGAAAACGCCAAGACATGCAAGGGAGATTCTTGCATGTCTCTTCAGACTGGTCTTCAAATCCTGCCCCAGATATGCTGAAACCAAGCCCCTGATCTCACGACATGGAAGGCGTGGACAGATTATTGCAAGCGCACGCGCCACTTCTCTGAATGTCGAATTGTCGGAATCCTTTTCCCTAGTCACGAAGCAACATTGCATATGATACGTCCCGCGGCTGCAGGTTTCGATGCGTGAACATCTACTGCCTCACGGGCAACGACGGAGAGCCTTCATACACAGGTGAGCAACGGGTCTCACATTGCATCGTTCGAAGCCTCACATGGACATAAAGTATGGGAACTGTGTGCAGCACATAAAAGCTGCTATGTCGCCTTCCCTTGTCAACGACGTGAGCCCACATCGTTCCCCTATCTCAACTTCAGGTCGACGTGATGAACTGGTCACTGCTCCCCCTCTTTCCCCTTCTTGCTACCCTCTCCAGCGCGGCGCCCTCAGCTCCGGGATGGTCGTTCAATCTCAAACAGACAACATCCGGGATCGTCGCTCTCGAGTCCATCGTTGTTTCGCCCACTCTTGTCCTGTGGTTTGACCGCGCTTCCAATGATCCGCTGCAGATCAACAACCACTCGGCATGGGGTGCGCTCTGGAACCTCGAGACAGACACCGTCACCCCGCTGGATCTGATCACCAACTCGTTCTGTGCGAGTGGCGCTCTACTCAGTAACGGTACCTTGGTATGCGTCCACAACTACTTCACCAAAAGGCAGTCTTTTATCATAGTCTCTCATCTAGGTGAGCATCGGTGGCGATCCGAACGGATTTCCGGGAAACCCTGGAATCCAACCTGGACAACAAGCAATCCGTATCTTCGAGCCCTGTGCCTCCCCGACTGGGGAGGGCTGTACCGTATTCGAGGACCCTGCCAACCTCCATCTCCTTGAGAAGCGCTGGTATCCATCCACCGCTCGCATTTTCGACGGTAGCCTCTTGATTGTTGGCGGAATGCACGAAGACGCGGCATTCTATAACATCGACCCGGCGCTCAGCTTCGAGTTCTTCCCACCGAAGGAGAGTACTCCCCGACCCTCCGAGTTCTTGAAGCGGAGTCTTCCCGCTAACCTGTTCCCACGGTACGCACCGTCGTTCTCATATATTCTCTGATAGTACTCACGGTATGCCCCGCAGAGTCCTGGCCCTGCCCGATGGCACGGTCTTCATGGTTGCCAACAACCAGTCGATCATCTACGACGTCGAGGCGAACACGGAGACCATCCTTCCGGACATTCCGAACAATGTCCGCGTCACCAACCCCATAGACGGCTCTGCGATCCTCCTCCCGCTCTCTCCTCCTGATTTCGTCCCGGAAGTCCTCGTTTGTGGCGGTACCGCGGTGGATCCCTCTATTCAACCTGCGAACCTCTCTTCGCAATTCCCTGCTACCTCTCAATGCTCTCGTATCACGCTCACTCCTGAGGGCATCGCGAAGGGTTGGGAGGTTGAGCACATGCTCGAGGGGCGCACCATGCCTGAGCTAGTCCATCTCCCCAACGGACAGGTCCTCATCGCTAACGGCGCCCGCACTGGCTTCGCAGCCTTGGCCCAGGTCCCCGATGCCATCGGCAGCTCGAACGCTGACCACGCCGTTCTGACACCCTCCCTGTACACGCCCGACTTGCCCCTCGGCCAACGCATCAGCAACAAGGGCTTGCCGACCTCTGACATCGCGCGTGTGTACCACTCCAGTATCACGCTCACGCCTCAGGGGAACTTCCTCATCGCTGGCAGTAACCCGAACGGCAACTTTACGACTGGCCCAGGCCTCAAATTCCCAAGCGAGCTTCGCGTGCAGACCCTCGACCCTCCGTTCATGGTCGTCGACCGCCCGAAAATCCTCAGCGCGCCTGCGAAGATCCCATTCAACAGCAGCGTTACCGTCCCCGTGTCGATCCCAGCTTCGCTGCGCAACTCGAAGGCCAAGGTCCAGAGTACGTCGTCGTACCCCGGGCATTATTGCAGTTATGCTCACCCTTGATCGTGTTCAGTTTCTCTGATGGACCTCGGGTTTTCCAGCCACGCTTTCCACTCCAGTGCTCGGCTCGTTTTCATGGAAGGCACAATCGCTCCTGACGGCCAGTCGCTCACATTCGTAACGCCCCCGAATGGTCGCGTCTACCCACCTGGTCCTGCGACGATCTTCCTTACGATCAACGACGTTTGGAGTGAGGGTGCATGGGTCATTGTAGGCAGCGGTAACTCTCCGCCAACTCTCGAGTGAAGAATACGACGGAGCGAGTCTAGAATGCTGGTGATGAGACGAGTTTCCTGGAGACCACGAGTTACCTTGTTTTAGTGCCTCTTCTTCAACTGTCATGCCATATTTAGGTGCTCGTTCGGTTCCGGCCTGCGGTGAATCGTACCACTAGCCTCACGTCCGTTTTGGGGCTAAACCGTCCAAATCCCCCCCACATGTGCGCACGTGCGTGTCGCATCACGATATGATTTGTGATCTGAGATCCATGAAAATCGTGGTCTCGACTCAGTCCGCCCTCTTGACCCCGAACGATCCCCACCTTCTCCGGCGTCACTGCTGCCCCCTTACTTTACGCTCTCTACTCCCTATTCCGTTCCCACTCCGAACAATACAGGCACTCTTACGCACACCTTTACGTCGACGATGGCAACATCCTCGTCTCCTCTCCCTCCATCTCCCAAAACCTCACCCTCATTCACGATCTCTTTCTCTTCGCCGAATCCCTCCTCACCCGTCTCGGCTTCATCCTCGAGCATGATAAAACCGATCTCATTCACTTTATCTCCCCTAACAATGCCTCACAACAACCTTACGTTGATTCCCCACTCGTTCTCAATCGCGGTCCTTATTCGCTTGCCAATCCTTTACGCCCGCAGCCTGTCGTCCGCATCCTCGGATACCTCCTCGACTCCACCCTTTCCTGGAAGAAGCACATCGCCTTCTGGGCGAACCGTGCCTCAACCACTGCCATCGCCACCCGCATGCTCGGCTCGTCGCTCCGGGGTTTGTCCCCGTTGCAACGGCGCCGGCTCTACGTCTCATGTGTCCTTCCGGTTCTTACGTACGGATGCCA